CAAAAAGGGACTCACATCCGGCTATCTGAGGTACAGTGGTCTCCCTCGGATCAAGACCTTCTTTTAGAATGACCGCCACCCCCCCGCCCCTGCCCTGAGCTCTCGGCTGATGAAATGCCCGGAAGCCTGATGGGCACATCTCCACGAGGGGAACTCCCCCCTCATGGCCCAACCAGGTCTCCGTGATACCTGCCAGGTCCGCTCCCCCCTCCTGAATAAGATCACAAATGAGGGGGGCTTTATTTACCACGGACCTGGCATTACATAACATCAGCCGGAGACTCGGGCGCTGAGACTCTAAGCAGCCTGGGGAACGGGAAGAGCTAAGGGGGCCGGGGCACGCAATCGCTCGAAGATAGCGAGCACGAGCCCCCACCACATGATATGGCCCCCTGCTCCCGCCATACCTGCCCCTCCCACTCAGTGTGTTAATAGAGAAGCCCTCACTAGAGGGCATTCTAACAGTCCCCTTTCCCCCAGAGTCCGCACCCCCTACGGCACCATTAATAGCAACCGGACTGGTCTGCAACCCCCGTGGGTTTTCCCCCAAACCCACATAACCTCCCCCACCCCCAGAACCCCTTAAAAGTCTATTTAAAAAAGTCTTTAAAAAACCCCTCAATCCCCTTTTTGCGACATGCCACCTCTCGGGGTCCCAAGATCCGTCATTAAGGTGGGCCCTCGATAACATAGAGGGCCAGGCCTGCGAGAGGGGGGAATCTCGCAGCGCAAGAAGCTTTGCCCTAGAATACATTTTAACACTAGAGTAATAATACAAGTTTGGCCTAGACATGGCCTAGGGGTTTCTAATGATGGTTTCAGATGTCCAGGAAGCAAGACTAAGTTAATCGGAAGAGTCGCCATTACCCTCTCACGGTAATGGGTAGGAGTCCTCACGTTCAGTCCAGCTGAGGGAAACTATCCAACCACCCTCTCACGGTGGTTGGCCATCCTAATCAAGGCAAGATGGAAAAAGTCAGAAAAAGTCCGAAAGCCACCCTCTCACGGTGGTTTGGGCTTCCTGGCCCTGGAAAGATGAGTCCCATCCGTGGCGAACGAAGTCTGGAGCTGGCTCCATCCATCCTCCCGTAACTGCCTTGTCCTCCATACAGTCAGGAGACAGGACGAAAGACAGAGCCAGGTCCCAAGCTCTGGGGAGGAAAGTCCACATTGGCCAATAGGCCGATAACAGGGCCAGAAAAAGGGAGGGGGGGGGCCATCCATAGCGACCCAATACTTGAGCCGTCCACCAGCCTCTCCAACCCAGATCTTTCCATACAACCCTTAACATCAGCCATGTATCCTTCAACCCCTGAGCACAATGGGGTTCAGCTCCCCCATTTCAATGTCAAGGCTTGATGTTCTTCTCCTCTCCTCCAACGCCAACAACTCTCCAGCTCTCCAGCACCACCGCCCTCAACCTGGTTGCCACGCAGCAGCCGCCATCACCACAGCGTCGTCCTCGGCGCCGGCCACACCCAAGCTCCCAGCGTTCCCCAGCGCCCCCGGAACATCCAAAAGAAACCCCCAGGGGCGTCCAGGGTCAGGGGGGAGCTCGCTGGGCATCACCGCCACCGCCGCCAACGCTCTGGCCGCCGCCGCCTCGGTCAAGCAGGGAGGAAAAAAGCGGCGGAGCCGATGCAGCCGGGCTGTCGGCGTTCAGCCTCGGCGTTCTTCCACCCGCGCCGTCTTCCGCTCGCTTCTCCCCAGCCACGAAGTTCCGGAGGGCGAAAAAGCCCTCATCAGGCTGGGGAGAGACTCCTCCAACTGAGAAAGGGGTTGCCGATGTTCATGGCAGCCCCAGAAGACCCCTGCCAGTCCACGAGCCGCCCATCCCTAGACGCGATTTAGACGGGTGTCGCCATCTTGGGGCATGCGCAAACATAGTTTAAGTATTAGATTTCAATTACTGGCATTCTAGCATTAAAAAAATATGCAGTGAATCCATATACTTTTAAGAGCGTGTTTTTACTTAGTTGCATATCTTTTTTCTGTATTCAGGCTAACTTGCGCCAAAAGCTAACTCACTCAATGCAAACTAACCTCAGTCATATGAGAAGGGACAACTGCAGCCAAGTGTACTTGTTGAAGGATTCTGGCTCACAAACTAAGCGAGAGAATAGTAGCAATGTACCAAAGCCACAGATTTTCCTAGCTGGTCTTCGTGGAGGAACACCCCCAACTACTCGTATGACCAAAGTGAACTTAACAAGAGCAGTTGATGAAACATAATTTTGTTGTTTAAGTGAAAAGCATTTCAATAAATTAAAATGTTTAAAAATGTAAACGAGTCTCCCATTTTTTTTGATTGGAAGGTTGGACATACATTTCATGAATAGGAACAGGGGAGAAAAAGCTCCAAATATCAATAATAAGATGCAGCATAAATTATTCAGTGCCAGACCTGTCCCTCTACGACGATATCCTGATAACTTAATTTTATCAAATATAAATTAAGATACACTGCATCTTACTACCACACTTAAGTTTCTTATTATTTAGTTGTTGAGTTTTCTGGCTGCTTATTCTCTTAATTATTCTTCCTTTTCTTCCCATCTCTTGTATGAGATTGATTAGTCTAATTTTTTTTTAATCATCCATTTTGTGCACACCTTTTTCATTTTCTCAGCCCTCTTCATAGCATTACATAGCTCTAATTATCACAGTGGAGTTAGCTGGTAACACTGTTGATCCTTAGAACAGTCCTGCACAAGGGGCACAAGGAAAGGGCTACATTGATAAATGATCACAGGGCACAAAGGAATTGGCATATTGATCAGCAATTTGATGATTATCAGAACAGCAGGGCTGGAGTTGGAGGTATGGGTGTGGCCTGCGGGTGTTGAGAGGTGCTTGGCAGTATATCTTTCAGGGCATGATGGATCCTTTCTGATGATGGTGGTGATGTTTATAGCAAATTTAGCGTTTTAAAGAAAGCTGGTGGGCTGCATGTTGTGTAGGCCTGCCTTAGAGCCTTGAAATCCCACAGAGACTTTATATGTGTATATATCTTGATTGATCATGTTAAATCTCAATCTCAGCAACTAATAATCCTATATACAGACATTGTGGGGCAGAAAAGGCACATTTATTAATGTAACAGTAAATGTAAAAAAATGCTACCAGCACATGCATTGATTAGAGGATATCACTTTTATACAGCAGACTGGGAAATAGAAAAAAGAAAAATCCCAGAACAAGGCAATGACAAACTACTTACCCACTGTTGCCAAGAAAAGTATGAATGTGTAAGGGTTAGGATGTCGTCCAAGAGTGACAGGAGTGGGCAGGCCAGAGTTAAAAACCACAACAGTTTAACAAAAACCAAAAACTCATTTTAGTTTAACAAAAACCAATGCCCGAGGTGTAAACAATCCAAGATGAATGACTCACACTCCAGGAAAGCTCATGCCACCACAGTATACATCTGCCTAAAAGTGTTCCAAATCTGTGTTCCTTAAACCTTTTGCTCTCAGGACCACCTCCCATTTTTAAAAATGATGGAGGACACTAAAAGAGCTTTTGTTTATATGAATTAGATTTATTGATATTTACCATATTAAAAATTTAAATTGATGCATTTGCAGAATTTTTTTTATTTTGTAAATAAACATGTAAAATTAACAGTAATAAACCCATTAGGTACTAACCTATTTTTTCATGAAAAACCTGATGTTGGAAGAAACATCCTTCTGGGTTCTGCTCCAAGTGGGGAAAACAGACACTGGAAACATGGAGACTGCTTGGAAAGATGGTTTAATGGTGGACAGGATCACATGGCTTGAGTTCCTGAACAGAAAAAGGGGCTGATACAGTAAATCTTTGGGTTTTTATGCTCTCTCTGGCTCTGCATTTCTTGGGGCCCAGAAAGAGTTTCCTGATTGGTTGTCAGACTCCCAGGGGGTGGGGGCCTTGCTGGCTGATGGTCACATGTGCTTCCCAGGTCACATGTGGTGAGTTTCTGCTGCTATTGTGTAGAGGGCTAATCCTATCTTTGGCAATTCCTACTATGGCTCTGCCTGAAGGAGGCAGATCTTTGTTATGTAGAATAGACTGGCCCAGGCCTTAATGGCCCATTGACAAAGGGTGGGGGGCAGGAAGGTGGGAGCTGCTTTGTCTGTAAAATATGCTTCTCATATTTCTCATCCAGGGAAATATAATATTCTGCCTTTTTCATATTTCCTAAAATATTTCACTCTTCCAGGAAAGGGGTGGGTGCTAACTTCCTACACCTGATACTGTAATTTTAACATAATGACGACAAGAGTGATGTCGTTTTATGTTTTTTGCAAATATCTTCACTATTTGGCTAATAATTTTGATTTAGCGGACCCTTGAGATTGCGCCTGTCTCCGGCAATCCTCAGGCTACACTTTAACAAATACTGTTCTAGAAGTTGCTTCTTTTCATTGGGAGAAATCCCGGCTGTAAAAGATGGCACTGGACAGTGATACGTCCATCCCAAAACAAAAGACACAAGAAGACCTTACCCTCGCTCTACTAGCTCAGTGTTTCTCAAACTTGCCAACCTTAAGACATGGACCCAAAGGTGCTTTTTTTTTTTTTTTTCCAAAAGATAACTGGACCTTATTGTTTTTTCCTTGAAGAAAAAAGATCACCACCATTCAGTTCGAACTGAAGAAGCTTCTTGGATGAGAATCAAAACGTCTTCAAAGAAAAACCAGAAAGTCCAATTGCCTTTTGAAAAATGCACCTTTGGGACAACCATGACCTGGATGACTGAGAATCTCCCTATATAGACACTTAAAACGAGGATTTCAACTCCCAGCATTCCCCAACCAGCAGGCTGATTTGAAGTCCGCATGTCTTAGAAGTTGCTCAATTGGGCTAGCTGAAATCGGTCTTGATGTTAAAAATAAGATTTTCCTGGCGTCCTGTCCCTTTAAGGAACAGCTCTGCCAACACCAATACAAACCCACTTCCTGGAATAGACGATTGACTCCCTTTGAGGAGCTCCACGGAAAGCTTCGGTCTAATTCTCTTTCCGGCGGCAGGATCGAAGCGACGCGTACCGGAACGGACCCTCTAGTTGGCTTCTATAGCTCTCTATGGTAAATTGGACTGATTGGCTGGGCGGGCTTATTCGCTTGCCAATTGATTCCTGCTCTTGGCTATTATGGCGCCTCCGAAAGGTAAGCGAAGCGAGACTCGGATCCTAACGCTTGATCCCGCCTGGTGCTCGGATCGCAAAACCAGCTGCTCCGATCGACTCCGCTTTTACCAGCTGTGCGGAAAGAGAGCGATCCATTTCACTGGGGCTAATGGTTGGGCATCCCCACGTGCGGGTGGGGGATTCCATGTGCAAAAGGCGGAATTCTAAAGCCCCCTCCACCCCCCCAGCCCCCGAATGGAACCCGGTCTGATTAGAAGAAGAAGGTGGCTAGTTTAAATAAGGCGCAAGCCGACATCCATTTGTTGCCACCCATTCTGCTGACTGTGGATAGCTGTTCCGTTGCATTATAACAGATTTTCCCAACCAAAGCTTTTCAGATGTATTGGACTTTTTTTTTTTTTTTTTAAATTGTGCTGGCTGGGAATGATAGGTTTGGAAGTCCAATAGATCTGGTGGTCCCATGTTGGGAAAAATGGTCGGAGTGATTTTGGTTGGAGTATCTGGTCCCTAAGAGCCTTTAGGCACGGAAAAATGCATGCCTTTTCACGTCCCGTCTGTATTGCTAAAATAAGACTTAAGAGCTGTTGAGAGGATAGTTTACTCTGTGGAAATAATGCTTAATTTGTACAAGTGATGTCCATATCTAATGACTACTTCTCCCATTCTTGTTTGCAATCAAGTAAATATTCTGTTGTCAAGTGTGTGATAAGATTTATTCTTTACATATGAATTGGATCAGGGCTGAAATAATACAATAATATAGGAACTTAGTTTGGAAGCATATGAGCTAACTATGGAATAAAATTATATTTTGATTAGCAAATTAGATTTTATATTAGAAATTGTAGAAAATGAAGACAATTTTCACAATGATCTGGACATGTGAAGGAAGTACACAAATTGTTCATGAACTCAGTTCATTTTGGGAGAACTAGGATATCTCTTGCTTTCAAAGATTTGTGCCACAAGGATTCCTAATTTAAATGCAGCTGTTCTCTGTATTTCTAATAGTTCCTTGTGAAAGTGGTTCACGGTTTACAGATTCATTCAGGTTTTGGCATGTTCATATGTAGGCTTAATATATATACATATATACAGTTTTGGTTCACTAGTAGTTTGGCAAGGTTGTTAATAATATAGTCAATTTAAAAAAAAACTGAATTGGCTTTATGAAGTAGTATGCTATAAATATGCAATGCTATTTTGAAGTCAAAGTTAAATTATAACTTCATATGGTTATATCGTTGCAGCTCTGCAATTTAGTGTTTTAAATAGTTAAACAATTCTTTCTCTTAATTTTATTTAATCAATTTGCCACATAGGCACCATGTGTAACACTCTTGCATTCTGTCCTGGAAACAGAATAAACAACATGCCCCCAATAATATGAAAAGTAAGTTTCCTTGTTACTAGTCAAAAAGGAAGAAAAACGTTTAATAATGCTGTTCATCACCAGATTGCACTGAGTGATACTTGTATCTGCTGCAGAATTTAGCCTCTCGGGCCACATGTTGAAGCAAATGAGATCTTATCTTTAAAAGATGAGCATAAATTATATGATTGCAAAGTGTAACCTGTAATACCTTGGAGGAATAATTACACAAGGTGGAACTCCCTTGAAAGAATAAATGTTTTGAGTGACTGGATTTGGGAAAGCAAAGCTGTATTAAAATAACGGTATAATGATCTATATATACAGTGTTGTGGGAATACCAAAAAAAAACCTTGTAGAAATAAAGCAAAGAATTTAAGGCAAACACCACTAGTCTTCCTTGACAATTAGAGATGGTACCAATTCTAAATCATTACCTGGAACTGGATGTTGCCAGGATTTTTAATTCTTAATTTCTTATATAATTATTAAAACAAAATCTGTACAAAGAAATAAAATTCTAGATTATCCTATCTGAAAAATGGGGTAGAATTAGATATATCTTTATGAGATGCTATGCAGTGAATATCCTGATGTTAATCACTAGAGACATGAGGAGAGCCAATTGCATACAGCAGTTAGATGACCTTGGACCAGTCACTCTCAACTTAAGAAGGATACAAGGGCAAGCCACTTCCGAAAAACTTCACCAAGAAAAACTACAGGGAGTAGTTTAGGCAGTTGCCGGAGTCAACAATTACCTACTTAAACTCAACACCCACCCACCCCCCAAAATATGAAGATCTGAAGCTTTTTGCTCCAGGACAGCTCACTTTGAACCAGGCTCCCACCTCTTGTTTTATGTTGGTTGGCATAGAAGAGAAGCAATAGTGGGACACAAAATTGCATCCCTTCCAAATAGGTTGTTTAGGTGGGAGATGCCATGGTAACGATCATGAAAAAAATAGTGGTTGACTTAGACCAGGGGTCTACACTCAAAGAGCCATTTGGACTTGTTTCCCACAGAAAAAGAAAACACCGGGAGCCACAAAACCCTTCCCGTGCCTGACTATTTCTTGAGGAGCCACAAAACTAGCATATGTAGTTGAATTAAATGTTCTGGTTTTTTCTGAAACTTTTCTTGGATTTATCCATGGTTGGCCTACTGGGGGCTGAAAAGCTCAATAAATCGTATGCCGGCAAGTGTCACACATTGGCAGCTGTGAGTGATATTTTGAGTGACAGGGAGCCGCAGCAGAGGGGTGAAAGAGCCACATGCAGCTCCAGAGCCGCAGATTGCTGACCCCTGACTTAGACATAGGAAAAGTTGTTCCAGTGCACACTGTGAAGCAGACCTGACCAACCTGAACAATTGTTATATATGATGCCTGTGAAGATTTGTGTACCACCCTCTAATGCAGTGTTTTTGAAAACTGGCAGTCTTCAACTTCCAGAATGCCTCAGCAAGCTGTGGGAGTTGAAATCCCGACATTTTAAGATTGCCAAGTTTCAGAAACTCTGCTCTAATGGCTACCAGATATTCCTCTGTAGATGGCCAGCTGTCATCGTTGCTGGGGTACCTAAAATTTATTTTCTCTCTCCCTCCCTTCCTCCTTCCCTCCCTCCCTCTGTATTTAAGATCAGGTTGATTCATGTGACCTTATTTGTGACTGTTGAAGGTGGGGGTTTTAATTCTTATATTTCACAGAGGGATCCTTTTGCTTTTTCAGAAAATGTCAGCCTACTTTTTAAGTTGTACTGCTTGACGGTGATGACCTTAGTGGCTGCAACATATACAGTAGCGTTGCGATATACAAGAACAACCGGAGCGGTTCTGTACTTTTCATCCACAGCTGTTTGCATTACAGAAGTTATCAAATTATTCCTAAGTTTGGGCATTTTAGCAAAGTAAGTATGAATATTGGGGAGGATAGTCAGATGATAAATTTACTTGCTCTTTTCTTATTTATTTTCTTCCTTTAAAAAAACCCCTCCCATAGTTCCTGTTATGATTCATATACACTATGTTAGATTTGCTTCTTTAAACAGATTATTTTCAAAGCAAACAGAACATTCTGGATTGAGTTTTTGTTCTAGATTTTTTTTCTCCCAGCAGCTTAATAAACATGTCATCACTCAAATACCTATTCATTGTTCTGGCTAAATGTTAGTGTGAGTTAAATTCTGAAATTTGGACCGAAGTGATTTAGTGCAGGCATGATTCTTCACAAACATTCAAAAAGATCCTGTGTTCTTACAAGAGAGCATTTAAAGATTGGCAGTTTGTTCATGCTGTTCTTCTTTAGAGCTTTTGAACAAGGCAAACTTAGAGTTCATGTAACAAAAAGAACCTGAAAACAGTCTCAAGAAATTTATAACTTGCTGCCTTTATTTAGTGGTACTTCAAACTGCTGCCTTGAATTTGCCACATATTGTACTATGCTGCCTTTGTGGCATACATAGACTGCTGGTCATGACAATATTTAGACAATAATTGTTCCCTTGTTGCGATATATTACCATCTGATGCTTAGATACATCGTACAAATAAACTCTCCTGCTTTTCTTTTTCTGTGTATGCTGAGTTTCTTAAGAAGCCATAATTGAGGAGTCGGCATCGTACTCTCTAGGGATATAGGTCAGCAACTCAAACCAACCTCCTTTGTCATGACCATGATGGATGGAGATGATACAGTCTAAATGCATTTTGGAAGGCAATTAGTTGGAGAATGCTGGTGTAAAAGATTTATAATGAACTATTAATTCCTCAGTGGTATCAGCTATAAGAACATGGTACCCTCTCCACAGTCTATTCCCTGAAATTACTTTCTTTTCAATTGATTTAGGCACTGAAAGGAATCCTGGATGGGAAGGAAAAATGGCATCCAGGTGGGGCTGGTGAGAGAATAGGTTCCACAACTGGCCACATGTCCCTACATCTCCTAAAATTGGGCATTTGGCATTGTTACCAAGAGAGATATGTTCTGACACCAAGTCGTCTTTTTTTTTTTTAGTTTTTTTGACACCGAGTCTTAATTATCTCTGAAAAGTTTGAGTTATTCTGAAATCAGAGTTTCAATAAGTATAGTTTTCTAAATACCGAGACATTTATGCATGTTCGCTGCCTTGAGTTATTTATAAAGTAATAAAAGCGGGATAAAAATCTAATAAATTTAATAAATAAATAAAAATAAAACCTTGCTTCTAGGACATTTTGTTTTTTCTTATGTGGTCTCCCTCCTGCCCTCCCCCCACCCTATCCTTCACAGAGAACCAAACTCTATACATGATAGAGCATCAGCAAATACGGAAGTCACCATAATGGATGATAATGGGAAAGATGTTTAAGGGCAAGGGAAGACCTATTCAGAATTACTGTAGACCAATCCAAGTTGTCTGACAGGATAGATTAAGAAAGTGTCCTGCCCTTTTGCACTTTCTCAGGAATCATCTGGTTGGTTAATGCATGTTAACAAAGTGGAATTCTATCAAGCTCATCTCAAATGGAATTGTTTTCACTGAAACTGCTGGGAAACAACTTTGGCAAAAGGGAAGGTTCTGAAGACAGACCTCTCCAATGGCCTCTTTCTGGTAAAGACCGAAATAGACTGAATTTGAACCTATATAATGCCTGTACCTCGCTACTATAAGAAGTGGCAATCCTGACTTCCTCTAAGCACCATGGTGAGCTGATGCCTTGCTGCCTTTCACTGACTAGCAAGCCATTATTAAGAGATTATTAAGATCATTCCGGACAGCTGTTCTTCCTGAGTAGACCAACTGCTGTTTTTACAGCCGGCTTATGAGTGCAGTTTTTGTATTTTTCTGTTTGCATTTTTTGCAGTTTGTATTCACTTCTATTCTGTTCATTTATAATTCTTAATAAAATTATTTGGAAAAAGAAGTAGTAGTAGTCCTATTTCTCCTAAAACATTTTCCTTTTTTTATTTTCCTCAGGGAGACTGGAAGCCTGGATAGATTGTCAATGTCTTTGAAAGAAAATGTTTTAGGCAGTCCTAAAGAATTGTTGAAATTAAGTGTTCCTTCGGTTGTGTATGCTGTTCAGAATAATATGGCCTTCCTGGCTCTCAGCAACTTGGATGCAGCAGTTTATCAGGTAACTTGAGTGATGTTTGAAAGTTGAATCCTTTGCCATGTCAGTCAGAAGCAGGTGTTCACACACATGTCGGTGTCCCAAAGGTGCTTTTCCAAAAGGCAACTGGACTTTCTTTGTTTTTCCTTGAAGATGTTTCGCTTCTCAGCCAAGAAATGAAACGTACTGTCCTGAAACTCAAGAAGCTTCTTGGATGAGTAGCGAAATATCTTCAAGGAAAAACAAAGTCCAATTGCCTTTTGGAAAAGCACCTTTGGGACAACCATGACCTATATGACTGAAAATCTCTAAAGACACAGATGTGGGCATTCTTCAGTCAATGGTTGTTGCAATGTCTAGGGCAGTGATGGCTAACCTTTTTGCCATCGCGTGCCAGGAGAGGGGTAGGTGGAGGTTCGCGCATGTGCGTGCCCACACCCATAATTCTATGCGCCCCCCGTGCATGCGCACACAACCCCCACCCCCCTGCTCCTGGCACGCAATGGCCTGGTAGACTCCTAGAGAGGCTCTGGAGGCTGGGGACAGCAAAAAACGTCACTTCCTGTCCCACTGGGAGTTGGGAAATGGGCCCTTTCAGGCCTCTGGAGGGCCTCCGAGCGAATGGGAAAGGCTGTTTTCACCCATCCCAGATGCATAGAGAGGATCTGGAGCCAGGTAAGAAAGAAAAATGGGCCTTCCTCACCCCCACCCTCCCCCAGGCCCTCCGGAGGCAGGAAACAGCCTGTTTCCCTACTTCTGGTGGGCCCAGAAGGCCCGAAAATCAGCTGGCCGGCACGTGCATGCACGCCAGAGCTGAGCTGGCATGCCCACTGATAATTGCTACTGGCATGCGTGCCATAGGTTCGCCATCATGGGACAATTTTTTATTTTCCAGTAAAAATAGTTTACCCTTTTGGTTATATACTTCTGAAGGAAATGTCAAGAAAGAAAGATAATAGAAATCTTCCATAAGTGAAGTGCTTTCGGTCCTCCATAATTGTTGTGCGAATTTTTGATGTAGTAGGGAGAGAAGCTGGTAATTTAATGAGTTGTTTTAACCATTTCATTACTGAAAAATAACAAGGAAAATACAAAATGTTGGAACATGGGGAAGCAAATGATTATTTTTGCTACCTGGCATTCAGTGCCATAGGCAAAATTGAAGATGACCCAGGTGTGCAATTTTGATTGGTGACAACTATATTTGGCACTTAAATAGAACGTTGCAAATCACACTGCATAGAAGTGACACTGCAACAATAACAGTTGATATAATTGGTCACTTACTGGTAATCAAAACAATTACATTTAACCATATGCGATTAATATTAGTCTCCATATCAGTTGAATGACGTAATAATCACTTTTTCCTTACTTGTCTCTACATTAAAAAATATTTTTGGAAGGCTTTTCTGTGCCCTATAGATGGGATTATTATTAAGAGCCGAGGTGGCTCAGTAGTTAGAGTGCAGTGCTGCAGGCTACTTCAGCTGACTGCTAGCTGCAGTTCAGTAATTCAAATCTCATCAGGCTCAAGGTTGACTCAGCCTTCCATCCTTCCGAGGTGGGTAAAAGGAGGACCCAGATTGTTGGGGACAATATGCTGACTCTGTAAACCGCTTAGAGAGGACTGTAAAAGCACTATGAAGCGGTATATAAGTCTAAGTGCTATTGCTATTGCTATTATGCATCTCTGAAATAAAACATGTCTTAAATCGAATGGTTTAGGTGACGTACCAACTGAAAATCCCCTGCACAGCTTTATGTACTGTCCTGATGCTGAACCGTAGCCTTAGTCGATTGCAGTGGTTCTCGGTGTTTATGCTGTGTGGTGGAGTCACGCTTGTGCAGTGGAAACCAGCTCAGGCCACTAAAGTTCAGGTAAGTTTTCTCCCTCCCTGGGAGCCTTAAATTTCATTTTTCTTATAGGGAAAAAAAATGGCAACTTGTACAAAGAACAGCAGATTTTTAGGGAACGATGAACTAGAAACCTATGTTCCATAGTTGAATGTTTAACAGAAGTTCACATGCATCAAATTATAGTTTAATATTTAAACATATTTAAACTTGTCCCAAGTTTTTTTGGGGACAAGAGCACTTCACCTTTTTTTTTTCTCAGTAAAGGCCAGCTATCCCCTGGTTCAATTTTTATGGCAGCTGAAATGAGGAATGAGTGATTTCAGAACTACCAGGAAATTCTTATGTTATTCTCTAGCATTTTTTTCCCTTTCTCTTTTTGCCTCCACTGTTTCCTTCTTTCTGACCCTGAGATAAGTGTGAACTAATGGCAAAAGTTTCTGAATTTAGTTTAAGAATCTGATGAAATAACTTAATCCCAATGCACCCAAAGGTTTCCAATTCCTGTCTGGGATCATAATAAACTACTTTACATGTTACGTAAATGCAAAGTGAGATCTGGTGGGGGAAAAAACCCCCCAATCTTGTGCATATTTGCTTGGCAATTGGACTCATTGAATTTAATAAGACTTGAGTGAGATCTATGAAAAATACCTGCACTGCCACTCTGTGTCCAAAATAGCTGATATTTTCACCCAGAATCATTTTTACAGATTTGTTCCCTATTACTTCCTTAACAGAATTCAGTTAATCCATCAAAATGCAACTGTGCAGAATGCAACTGTGGAAGATAGATTATAGGTAAATGAAATACTACTTATTTGTCTAATGGTAATGCAAATGACAATGACAATAGCCAAGGGACAAGAACAGCAAACCTTACAAAAATAGAAATAAGGTACCTGTGCGCAGTGATTGAGGCCATTCCCTTCTTTAGTCCAGAAGGATTGGGTACCTGACTTTATTTTCTTGAGATTATATATTTGTAGCATATCAAATGTTGCCCTTCAAGTCTAGGCAAACAGTACAGGGTTGCCCAAACCTATTCTGGCTTAATAAATCGTTTTGAGATGCCAATAGAGGATAAATAAATGGATTTTCTTCTTTATTACATCTTTAGGTGGAACAGAATCCACTGCTAGGATTTGGAGCAATAGCAATTGCTGTTCTATGTTCAGGATTTGCAGGTAATAACTAAAACACAGAACATTAAGCATGGTATTAGCTTATCTGAGAACTCTTTTGTACTAGCACTGTCGCTCAACAGTCATTGTAGCTTGGATTTCCATTGCTCCGCAACAAGGTTTTAATACACAATGTCACATAATCACACTGCTTAGTGATGACAATCCTGGCAGTTCCCATTGCCATTGTTAAGTGAGGATCATGGGCCATTAAGTAAGGACTTCACATGTCTGCAATTTGTGACTTCTTCTTGCCAGTTTCAACATGCAAAGTCAATGGAGAAAGCAGTAGACAAGGTCTCCCACTCCCACTGCTTTTCCCCCTAAGGAGCCATCCATGCACCCCACTGCACTCTCAACCTGTTGCAGTGCCCAGACCCCAGCTGCTTGCACCTCCACTACGTGGCAGTGCTCAGCTATATGTTCGGTTGTTCCCATGCATGACAGTGCCTACTGTACACTCTGATATATTCACTTCGTATGGTGGTGACCGCCTATATGCTTTCCATTTGTGGCATATGGCAGGGCTCAGTTCCTGCCTGACTGCACGTGGCAGCAACCACCTGCATGCCCCCCTGCATTTGCGCCACCCGCCCAACTCACCTGAGTTGTGTAGTTCTGTGTAGGCTTGTTATGACGGATTTGCAACTTCCTGCCATCTTCACCATTGACTTTGCTTGTTGGAAATTGTGGTCATATGACCACAGGGTACTGCAGATGTTCATAAATATGAGCCAGTTGCCAAGCACATGAAATGTGATCACATGATTGTAGGACGGGATGCAGCAGACGTAATTTTGAGGCCAGGTCATAACTTTTGGGAATTCGTGTAATTTTGAATGGTTGTTGAGCAAGGACTGCCTGTACTGATTTTTCCCCAAATCTGCATTTTGTTTGCAAAATTTGAAGAAATGCAAAGCCTAGGAAGTTTATCTTGCAGTTTGCTAGCTTGGGATGTAGATACCATTAAAGTGGTATGTTGCAATATTTCCAGGATCAGACTCAATAAAGATAATAGAAGTTAAAGCTTTAAATATATTTCTTTTTAATTATGATAGGCATTCTATATTCACTGAATATTCAAGGTAGAAGCTACGAGAATGGTGATGGTGGCTCCTTATATATACAAGGGGTGGAGCTAGGAATGGGAGTGGTAAGTTATGAATACATTAAAGTCCAAAGAATAAGTTAACCTCTGATGTTCCATATATACATTATTTACACATTGGAGAATAAGGCATTTACATCTGACATGGTATTCATTGAAATCTAGAAATATTTGATATATTTCTATACGGTTCGTTGTGGAAGTTATGATTCAGCTAGACTCCTTAATTTGGCTGACAGAAAATTAATGCTTTCAGAAAAAGCTACGGACGCCTGCCTTTAGCATTCAGCGATAAAAGACTAATAATCTATTCATCTTTAAAATAGATTGATTGACGAGCTTCTTTTCCAAGATTGATCTTTTGCTACTTTCCTTTCAGGAGTGTATTTTGAGAAAGTACTAAAAAGCTCTGATACATCTTTATGGGTGAGGAACATCCAGATGTATCTCTCTGGAATTGCAGTGACATTGCTTGGGGTCTACACAGCTGAAGGAGTTCAAGTACTGGAGAAAGGATTTTTTTATGGCTATACGCCATATGTCTGGTTTGTCATCTGTAAGTACTTGGCCTTAACTTGTAATTGTTACAACCTGTTATCTGTTTGTGATGTGTTTGTAGTAATGCTAGAAGTACTGTTTCAAATGTAGGAATGTGTTGAAAAAGTAATTATTAACACAATCCAAAAGATGAGCTCAATCTAATTGACTAAGAAGTAAATTTAAATCGAATAAAACATCATAATTCCTTTCTGCTCAGTACTATTAGGTCAAATTGAGAAATGTGTGGGGATGGTCTGTAAAAGCAGGTCCCTTTTATTCCAGAGCATTGCAAAAATCATAATGAGATTTGCCCCAAGCCTCTTTTATCCAATTGTCCATAGCAGTGGTTCTCAACCTGTGGTCCGTAGACCCCTGTGGTGGGGCACGATGTTGTCACATGGGGTCCGTGAAGGCTTGAAGAAATGATATGATTTAAATCCTGAGTTAAATTTTGGCCATGGTCCATGGCCACAAAAAATATTTAAAGGGGGTCCGTGGTAAATAAAAGGTTGAGAACCACTGATCTATAAAATATAAGAAATCTAATGAATGCTAATTCTGCTAGAGTCTGTAAACTGTCAGCTGCTGAGGTATACATGCAGGTGATATTTGAATTTACACAGCTTGTAAATTATAGAGCCGAGGTTGGTAACCAGGCACCTTTTAGATTTTAATTTCCATCTACCTCAGCCAAAATACCAAGTGGTGAGAAAATGGGAGACAAATATGAAAATAAATTTAGAGGAAAACTATGTGGGATGTAGGAGACTGAGGGCTAATTGTGACTTGGTCTTTGGGACATGTTGTAACCCAGAGGTGTCAAACTGGATTTCTTTGAGGACTGGATCAGCATTGTAGTTCTCCTCTGCGGGCTGGTAGCAGGGAGAACGGGGGGCGGGGGAGAGACAGGATGAACGCCTCCTACAGTGCTTTACCAGCCAAAACAGGGCGTGGGGGTGGATGCGGCCTCCCTGCACCTCATTTTCGGCCTCCCTGGCCTCCAGCAGCACTCTACTGGCCAAAAACAGGCCACGCGGAGTGCTGCAGGAGGCCAAGGAGGCCAAAACGGGATGCCAGGGGGCCTCGGGAGGCCTCCACGCAGCCTGTTTTTGGCCAGCAGAGGCCCCACAGGCTGGTCCTTTGATATTTCCAGGCCAGCCCCAGAGGCCGGATTTAAGCACCCTGCGGGTCAGATTTGGCCCATGGGTCTTGAGTTTGACACCCCTGTTGTAAGCAAATATGCAAAGGGGGATAACCTTTGGAGAACAGGTATGTGCCTTTCAAAATCACACCATGGCAGAATGCCAAAATTCAATAATCTGTTTTGGGGAAGATGGAAATAAAATTAAAAGCAGCTTTTTACACATTTACAAAGCTTAAAGTCCAATTTCTTATTAACTCTCCTAGTATTCATCAAAAGGCATAATTCTTTTAATTTTTGTTTATTCATGTGGGAATGATCTTGGCAGATAGAAGGCAGAGCCACAGACTAGGCAACAACCAGACAAATGGCAGCTTAACCTGCAGAAGAAATAAGGGTCAGAAATAAGAAATATGTCTCAGAAAAGACCCTTTCAAAGTTCTTGGACTGTAAAGGCAAAAGTGTGGGGACTTTCAGACTTGCAAAATTCTGTTAATATAATCTTACAATAAAATTAGAGTTAGTACTTCTGGATGTGCTTCTTGTCTGGACTACCTCACAAGGCTGACATAAGCTCTATTTTAGTTCTGTTTCTTTCAGTTATCCCATCCTACCGTCTGTGGTGTATGGAGGCTAAGCAATAAAACAAAAAAGAAGTCCACCCCCCCCCATGCCAATCCATTGTTTAGATTCCAAATCGGGTTCAGTGGTTATGGGGTAAATACCTATTATTAACTGCAAATATAATCTTCAGATGGTGGTACATAGTATATCACCCAGGCATGCAATTGTGTTGACAAAACTGGCATTCAACAAGAAATTCTGCTGCATAGCTCCCAGCAACTGGTAAGATCCCACAGCATTCGTCTCCTCCGGGTCCCGTTAGCTAAACAATGCCGGCTGGTGGGCCCGCGGGGTAGGGCCTTCTCTGTGGCAGCCCCAGCTCTCTGGAACCAGTTACCTCCTGAGGTCCGGACCATCCCCACCCTATTGGCCTTCCGAAAAGTGGTGAAGACCTGGCTTTTCCGGCAGGCCTGGGGCTGTTGATCTTGCTCTTGTGATCTGGCGAGATCCGGCCATGAATGGTGTGAATGAGTTTTTAATGTTTTTAATTTTTAATGTTTTTTATAATGATTTTATTGTGAGCCGCCCTGAGTCTTCGGAGAGGGGCGGCATATAAATTGAATTAATTAAATTAAATTAAATTCCCTTGCTCATTCTTCCAAATAAATGCTGTAATAGTTCTTTCTACCATGTCAGAATTTATTGGCCTACCACATCTCTTTTTTGTCCTAGTTCTTTCCAGTGTTGGGGGCCTCTATACTTCGGTGGTTGTTAAATATACAGACAACATTCTAAAAGGTTTTTCTGCAGCAGCAGCCATCGTCCTCTCTACAGTTGCATCCGTCGTTCTCTTCGGTTTACAAATCAGTAAGTAGCTTTGGACTGTTTTGTGTTTTCATTAAATCATTTATGATCCACAATATCATGGGATAGGTTACTATCAGTGATACATTACCAAGGTTACATGGTTTAAATTGCTCATAATCTCCAGCTTTATTCTTCTGCTAACACCATTTATTTATGCAGCTTCACAAAGAAATTAGCCAGATTAACTTGTCTTGAACTATTTTTCCAGGGTGATCAGATCCCTTTCAAACATTATGTGTTTATAATGTATTTTTTATCATATTTCATTGATTCCACTGAAAAATATTTTTCTGTAAGATTGTTATGAAATGACAAGAGTTGTTTCTCGTACAGATAGTCCTTGTTTAGCAATCACAATTGGGACCAACAACTCTGTTGCTAAGTGAAGCAGACTCTTAAGTAGGAAATTAGATGACCATGACTGTGTATTCCTTTCCCCTACCCTTTGGAATGCTCACCCCGGCATTGGGATAATTAAGCAGAAGAGAATTAATGTTTAAATTTACATTCATTGGCAAGGAACAGATTACAAGAGAGTTAGCAGGCACACAATGGGGAATACACATTGAAAGCAATGCACTGGTGCCCGCAGGCATGAGCATGTTGTGCAAACAGCGCAGTGCAGTCCCTATTGTGTGCTTGCATACTCTCTTGTAATCCCTTCCTCTCCAATCTCTACTCTGTAAGGGAGGAGAAAAAGAATAACAACAGGTTAGGCACAGGACAAGATGTACTGACTGCAGTGGTTGTCACATAACTAATGGATGCTTCAAACGTCATAAATATGGGCATTGACCATGAAATTATTTTTTCAGCACCATAATTTTGAATGGTCAGTGAATGAGGCAGTCGTTAAGCAAGGACTACCTGTATAAGCAAGCTGAATCTTAATCTTGCAGTCATGAAGTGAAGGTGAAGGTGAAGAATTTTTCAATCTTCTTAAAGGTTTCAGTCATACTTAAATTTAAGATGAAGTTGCCACTTACAGTGGTACCTTGGTACCCGTCTATAATTTGTTCTGGGAGGCGCAGTGAATACTAAAAAGGATGAATAGTAAACAAACTGTTTAACTTACCACATGACCCTTTGTTTCAGCCGGGAAGGACTTCCTATCCGTTCCTTTTCCTATGTGAGCGAGCTTCCCAGCATGGCTGACTTCCTGTCTATCCTCTGTGGCTATCCCTGCTTCCTTTTTCACAGACCTTCCCAGCATGGTTTACTTCCTGTCCACTCTCAGCGGCTGTCCCACTTCCCTTTTCAGTGTGTCAAGTACTAAACAAATGATGAGTACTGAGACATTTTTATGTAAAAATGCATTGCGTATCAAATTTGATGAGGTTTGAAGCAGACGAGTACTGAGGTGCCCCTGTATTTGCTAATATAATGGCCCTCCCAAAGAAGCTGAAAAATAGAAGTAGATTGGAGCAAGGTATCAAAACTATTTTCCAGTAGTGAAACACAATCAATGAAACATTTGGAGAATTCATAATCTAAATAGCAATAGCAATAGTATATACCGCTTCATAGTGCTTTTACAGCCCTCTCTAAGCAGTTTACAGAGTCAGCATATTGCCCCCAACAATCTGGATCCTCATTTTACCCTCCTCAGAAGGATGGAAGGCTGAGTTAACCTTGAGTCTGGTGAGATTTGAACTGCTGAACTGCAGCTAGCAGTCAGCTGAAGCAACCTGCAGTACTGCACTCTAACCACTGTGCCACCTCAGCTCCTAAAGCTGCAAACCAGACTTTTTTTTTTTTTTAATTTGATTTATATGCCGCCCTTCTCCGGAGACTCAGGGCGGCTTACAATGCGTTAAGCAATAGCCTTCATACTTTTGTATATTTATACAAAGTCAGCTTATTGCCCCCACAAACTGGGTCCTCATTTAACCTACCTTAGAAAGGATGGAAGGCTGAGTCAACCTTGAGCCTGGTAAGATTCGAACCTGCAGTAATTGCAGGCAGCTGTGTTAATAACAGGGTGCTTTAAACCACTGTACTACCAAGGCTCTTTTATATTTTCAGTGACGAGGCTGTGATCAGCACACTTTTAAACTGTATTTTCTGTTTCCCTTCCAGCTATAACTTTCTCTCTGGGAGCACTGCTTGTCTGTGTTTCAATATATCTGTATGGATTGCCTCGGCAAGATACAACAAAAATCCAGCCAGCAGAAACCAAAACGTCAAAAGGGAATCTTACTAGTGTGTGATGTCTGTCTTCATGAAGAATAGAAAAGGCAATACAAAAGTAAAAGAGACAGTTTGTATGCCTGTCCCCACCCCCACTTTTCTTTTTGAAAGAAAGCCTTCAATTCTTCATGGAAAGCTTCTGATGGGACTGAAAATGAAGTCAGTTATTCATTGGATGAAAATCTACACTGAAGGGAAGATTCTTCGCTAATCTGTAGAATCTCACTTTTCCTTATAAACTTTGGTCTTTTCCTATTGAAGATGCCTTGTGTGGACAAGAAAGAATAGAAGGCACAGTTATACATAAATAGGGAGATGGCCGTGGAATTTACTCCTATGTTGTAACATTTTATGTAGGCTTTGTTGCCAGAAATGCTTGTGGTTGCAGGGAAATTCAAATTTAAATGTGACCATATTGGAAGGAGAGTGTCTTTTTCTCCATGGATACCCAACATGAAGATCCAGCCAAGTGCTACACTGCTTTAATGATAAAAATCATTGTTGCAATGGGAAAAACACAGTGATGGTTGTGAGATAGAAGAATGCTGTTACTGGAGCTTTAAAACTGAAAACGGTAATTTATTTTTTAATATCCTGAAGCCAGGATCACTACTTTTTGAAAAAAACACAAGGAAGAGAAAAAAAAATACTGTGATTTCTTTGAAGAATTTTCTATTGTAAAAGGGAAGGGGATAGAGCACTGTATATACATTTATTCCTGGATTGAATTAATTGGTAAATACACACATACATTCTTGTGCAGTATGGTTAGTGTGTGCACTGTTACGATTTGTTTTTTTGTTTTTTTAAAATATTTGATTAAATATGTTTTAGAGAAAGGTGAACAAGCCCTATGGATTAAATATCATTTAGGTTTATATTTACTGATTTTGTCAACTCACTTTTATATTGAAATATTTTTAAAGCTTTTAGCAGGTTTTCTAAAATGAGGTTTTAAGAAATTAAAATGCATGATTTCTGTAAATGGAGTTGTTACAGAACGAACCAATCAAACCAAGGCTTGAATGAGAGTCTGATAGCTCAAATGTCAAGTAGTGATTTTTAACCTTAAAGCCAGCAAGTGTAACTACTTCCAATTTGGTCATGAACAGAGCTACTGGATCGGGTGATCTGGTCCGAACTGGGAGCATTTCACCCCTGCTATAGATATCCTATCCACGCACCCCATCACTGATTAGGGTAGCTAGGCTACTGTAACATTCATCCCAATATTGGAATGTGCTTGCCTTGTTACCCCTAGTTGGTATCCAAAAGAAAACAGGAGGAGAAAGTTTTAAGTATGTTCACTACCTTGAGTTATTTATAAAAATAATAAAAGTAGGTTAAACAAAAAGCTAAAAAATAAGGTAGTTTAAAACATGGTGTTGTCAGGGTTCCAAGTAACACCTCCCAACAAAAGAACACTCCAAGGCTAGAAGTTCCTCAAAGTTCCATTTTATTAGAGATGTCAGATTGGCACATCTGGGAAAACCCAAATCTGAAAGCTTCCAAGTTTTCCCCACCCAAAAGAAAGTGCAAGTCCCTTCCCCTGCACCCACATGTCCATCACATGATCCAATCAATGCACCTTTCCAACTGGAGATGCCTCCCAGTCATGCCACTCCAGGTGCAGGCCAAAAGTCCTTGACTCTCAAAGGAAGGAATGTTATTATGGCTAGATATCTCCACCACTCCATGCAATCCCCCCTCCCAGTTTCCCACAGCACTAAATGTGGCAGCCCTGAAGATCCAAAGAAAAAGATGGCTTCCAGGGCTGGCAGGTGTTCTTTAATAAAACATCAGATTGCAATGGCCTACTGTGCAAATGTACAGGTAGCCCACAGGGTGCTTTTTAAAAGAATTTTACCGGTAGAGGCTGGTGATTTTCCTTGGAGCATAGCAGCTTCATCTTATTTCATAAAAGAAAGTCTGAAAAGTTTTTAAAGTCAGATGAAGCACCAGGTAAGGCATCCACAGGATTTCCATAACTCATAATGGCAAGATAGCTTTTAAAAATAAATGTACTGCATATATTAAAAAAAAAATGCCCACCTTTCAAGCCAAGTGCATATGAGGAACAAAAAGGAAAAAAAACCCCACTCCATAGGTCTAATATTCTCATAATGATAAAGCTTTGTATTGCAAAAATACAAAATGGCTTTTTTAAAAAAAAAATGATTTATATGCCGCCCTTCTCCGGAGACCCAGGGCGGCTTACAATGCGTTAAGCAATAGCCTTCATACTTTTGTATATTTATACAGTCTCAGCTTATTGCACCCACAAACTGGGTCCTCAATTTACCCACCTTAGAAAGGATGGAAGGCTGAGTCGACCTTGAGCCTGGTGAGAATTGAACTTGCAGTAATTGCAGGCAGCTGGATGTTAAATGCTGCCTTAGGAGGCATTAGCTTCCTACGCCAATCAAAAATTTAATTTTTAAGCACTATTATTTGGTGCCAATTGCACAGCTGCTGAAATTTCCAAGTGGTTTTCAGAGCAGGTCAAAGCCATAATCCTACAGCCTGGTCCACATGGTGGGTGGATTACAGCCATTTAATTCAAATACCAATAAAACCTGGAACTGGCTTTATTATAGAGAAGAAAAATTCACATCACAGGGGCTTCCGAATATTCCCACCACTCTGGAAAGGCCACAAAGTCCAAATCGGAGATCAGATCATCTCCATAAGCGATACATAGAAACAGCATCAAGGAAGTTGCCTCATTACATTTTATCTACAGGTGTGATTCCTAGAAGCTTCATTCCGTTGGCTAGAACAGACCGAACAGCGTGAAAAAGGCAGAGTCTTGCCTGGAAAACACACATACACACACACACAAGGGGGGGGGGGGGGGGATAAAGAAGAAATGGAAATTTTTGTCATTTGCTTCTTATGAAAGCAGCAGGCAGAATTCATGCCCCCTCCTCCAACATTACCAAAATGTTGGTAATATTAAACATTTTAAAATAAGAACGATTAAAATGCCCATTATATATATAATGTAAGATATCTGCAGCTTGATCATTGTGAGGATCGGCTTCTTTTATTTCCTCCAGGTTTCTTCCACTTCCCCAAAGGAGACCCTGGCCATCAGCACAAAGCAGATTTTGTATACATTATTTGGTCACGGGAACTTTCCCACTTTATTGATGCAAGTAGTTTCTTCTTCTGTGAGAAGAATAGAATAACAGAATTGGAAGGGACCTCGTAGGTCATCTAGTCCAACTTCCTGCTCAAGCAGGAGACCCTATACCATTTCTGACAGATGACTGCCTAGTCTCTTCTTGAAAGCCTCCAGTGATGAAGCTCCCACAACTTCTGAAACAAGCTGTTCCACTGGTTGATTGTTCTCAGTGTCAGAAAATTTCTCTTTATTTCTAGGTTGAATCTCTCCTTGATCAGTTTCCATCCATTGTTCCTTGTTTGGCCTTCAGGTGCTTTGGAAAATAGCTTGACCCCTTCCTCTCTGTGGCAGCCCCTCAAATATTGGAACACTGCTATCATGTCTCCCCTGGTCTTTCCCTTCACTAGACTAGCCATGCCCAGTTCCTGGAATCGTTCTTCATGTTTTAGCCTCCAGTACCCTAATCATCTTTGTTGCTCTTCTCTGCACTCTTTCTAGGGTCTCAACATCTTTTTATAGTGTGGTAACCAAAACTAGATGCAGTATTTAGGGGAGGTCCACTTTCAGAAATTGGCTATTCATGTTGCATCAATGTACCTCTATTTCCCTAATAATCATTAACCTTATTCCTGCATATACTTGGATATTTGTCTGCTGGCTAGTGACTTCTCACATACATCAAGTTCCTCTCAGTGGGGGTGAGGGTGGAAATCTGTATCCAATACCTTTGTTTTCTCACTCTATTTCTGAAGTGTCAGAGACCCTCTCCAGATAAAACATTTTAGTGATGCACATTTATGTATTATTTCTGCTCATGCAGCACAAAACTGCTTTTTCAAGGTTTCCTTCTGTTTTTCATAGGAAGTTACAAGGATATGAAATGGCTTTATCCTGTATCTAGCGGGTGATGCACAACCTAAAATATTCAACCTGGAATATTTTAGGTTTACTGTTCTTAGAGTTCCCAGTCAGCTGTTACTCCGAATTGTACTTTGCATGTATTGTCTGTAGATGGATATAAGAACGGTCTGAGTTTTGATTTGTGGCCTCTTAATATTACAGCCTTCAAAAGAACAGCATCCTAATCCACAAGCTGAGCTACTGCAATAATTTTATCTTCCCTTTCTCATGTTTCCAGATACAAAACCCCGCCATTCATTTATTCCTTTAACTCATATTCCACCCTTCAACAGCAATCTTTCCACAAGAGGTTTTTCTCCAGGTTTACTGCTTAGGGATAACAAATTACATTCAAACACTGAGAATTATTATTGTATTGTAAGCTGGATCATGAGATGGGTGGCATATACATTCAATAAATTTAATAAATAATAAAATAAAATTAATGTTACCTGAGCGAGTTCCAGAGGGCTGCCCTTCACAGGGAGATTTCTGTGAGCTGCAGATACTAAATGACTAAAACAGAAATACCAAGCCTGAGAACACACTTTCCAAAAGAGAGCAACCCTAAACCAAGCAGCCACAAAGAAAGTAGTGCTGATTTCTAGGTGAGCTACACATGCTTAAATTTCAGAAGGAAAAAGAACATCTTTTTTGGCAAAACACTGCAAGGGCTATGGAGCATATAGAACTGCCATTGTTAGCTAGAGGATGCTAATCCTTGTTTCTGACCGAGAAGAAGAGTGTTGTTTGAGGGGAAAAATCCACATTCATAATCTTTGTTCAAGCTCTACAATAGTCACTCACCATAACCAAGCTTGCTCTGTGTTGAACTGATCCGGCCTTTGTATACTCTGCTGCAAAAGCCTTTCCTAACCTTGTAAATTCTAGCTATGTTAGGACAACTCCAAGAACTCCCAGTGGGCAGAAGCAATAAGATTTCTGGATATTATTGTCTTAACATTCCGGAGGACACAAGGTCGGGAAACGCTGTGCTGACTCACTTTAAATTGAATTTACCTTATATATTGGCTGATTTCCTGTAACTTGTATAGCCAGCTCAGTTAAACATCTAGTGATTATATATGCACAACCAATTGAACAATTAGTTTAAGCCCTGTTCGTGACTTGTGTAGCCTGGTTGGATAGATTGTGAGTCAATGTATTATGCAAAACTATAACATGGCTTAATTCACTAATGAGGTAAATGCGTTACATATTTCTCTAATGGTAATGGTGTGTCAATTTAGTCTTGACCTACCATGTGCACAGTAATTAATGGAACGCTGCATTTTTTTTCTTTTCACTAATGTCAACTTTATATCCAAGCCCATCTGCTGCACAGTATAACATATATGGATCTTAATTTCATCCTTTGAGGTATCTATGAAAACAAAATTATTCCATATACGTACACGAGATAAAAGCATCCTGGATAGTAAGACTCTAGGGCAGGGGTGTCAAACAAGATTTCATTGAGGGTCACATTAGGGTTGTGTTTGACCTCAGGGGGGCCAGAGGTGGCATGGCCAGCTTGACATCACTTGTGTTGGGGACACCTGTGGTGGCCTGGGCAGAACTGGGGAGATCCATTCACCCTCCTTCCTTCTCATTATAATCTCCTTCCTTCCTTTTTCCCTTTTCTTCTTTTTCCTTCCCTCTTCATTCTCCTTTCTTCTTCCTTCCCCTCTTTCCTTCCATGCTTTCTTCCCATCTTCTTTTTCGTTGTCTTTCCTCTTTCCCTTTCTCCTTTCCTGTCCCTTCTTGGATGCTCAAATACAAAAGGGGAAACATTTCTTGATGCCTCCTTGCCTTGTGATCAAATGCCACTTTTGCTAGTAGTTTGTTTTGCTAGCACTATGCCAGCGAAAACGGAGCTTGGGAAGGCCACATGCGGCTCTCTCAAACTCCGTTTTTGCTGGCAGAGGCACTGCGGGCCAGTCCTTTGCTGTTTCCAGGGCAGCCCCGCAGGCCAGATCAAAGCACCCTGTGGGCTGGATCCAGCCTGCAGGCCTTGAGTTTGACACCCCTGCTCTAGGGATAAAATAGCCCAATCAGACTGAGCATGCTCAGTACCCATGAGATGCTGAATAACTACTGCAAGGGATGAAAAATACAGATGTGGGAGAATAAAAAGACCAGGTAGGATTTTGCTGCAGTGTTCATTTCTTTAAATACCATTAAAATCACAAAAAGTATAATTTTGCTCCCAGTCTTAAAAAGTTTTCCTGTTTCTGGTAGGTTGTTCCAGGAAATGTCATGTTTAGAAATGGAATGTATCTCAACAAGAAAAACTAGTTTCTTTTTATGATCTCTGGAAAGTTCGTCATCGGATTTTGACAAAGACAGTTTTGTCCAAAGGCTTCTCATGAACTGATTTTCCACCAGTGATTCAGGCCAATAATATACAGCATTCAGCAAAATGCTTAAGGCATTTGGAATATTTCATAGGAAAATGAAGTTTGCAAAAACCACATCCTTTTTGATATTATGTAAATCATCAGTCAATCGTTAACCTACAGCTTGAAAAGTAAGCCAGGCGAAGCAAAATTATTTAAAAGAAGGCACACTTGAAGGTTTTCAAGAACATATACTATTTTTTGATCTAACGAGGTACTGATTTTGAAATTTATGGGCATTGTAAAAATGAAAAAAGAGTTTTTTGAATGAGTTTTGTTTCATGCCAAGACAAAGATTTTGAGTAGATAGATCTGAAAGACTGATTGGCTCAGAATCATCTATGAATTTCCATGGTTGAGGACGGACTTGGATCTTAATCTCCTCATGCCTAGTCCAACATCTCCACTCATCACCACACTGAAGCCTTCAGTTTGAAAAAACTGAATTTGATTATATCGAACTATCTGCTTTGAGGCTAAATACTTTTAAAAGCAATGTATCTGTTCTGTTCAACATTTGTTTCTTTTACCTGAGTTTAAATAGATAATTAACAATATGCTTCGGCTGATGATCTTGTGAAGATTGGTAAATAATTTCATCATATCTGAAGGGAGAAAGGAACACATTTAGGAGCTTTTGATAAAAAAAAAACAACAAAAGCCACATTCACATCTCAGTTCTATTCCAGCTTTACTGTCATATGAGATCAGATTCTTCAGTATACCTGCCTCTTTGAGTGAAGGGCTGCATATTAAAACTTCCACAGTTGGAGTAACTATTCCGGGAAAAAATACTGTCGAATAGCTGCTATCTATACACTAGCTTTTGTTTAGTACCAGCCATACAATTAACCACCATTTTGCTTATCTGAAAAGGTGGTTAGATTATTGCTTCAAATGGCCCTGTATTTGTTGAGAATACAGTACTGGAATAACAGTCATTTTTTCTCTTTTTTATTTTAGCATGGGGGATGGTGGAAGATGAGAGAGAGAGAGAGAGAAATGTAGTTTGAAATATCTTTCAAACCTGGCCTTAAATACCGTGGTGCAGTAGCAGAATCCCATATTTATTAATAGCTAATTAGTGACTTACAAACCATATTTTTTGGACTATAAGACGCAGCGGTGTATAAGACACACCAAGATTTCGAAGAGGTTAGTAAGAAAAAAAAAAGTTTTTGCCCTCCCCGGCCCCTAGGAGCACTCTGCAGGCCTTCCAAACCCTCTGTGTGTCCCATTTTTCACAAACATGGGCCTGTTTTTTGCCCATTTTTGTGAGGGGGGCTGGCTTCTGGGGACTGGCGGAGAGCAAAAACGCCCCTGTTTTTGTGACAAACAGGCGAAACGGGCCCATTTTTCACAAAAATGGGACAAGCTGGGTAGGGTTTCGGGAGGCCAAAAATGGCTGTATTCGGTGTATAACACATACCAACATTTCCACCCTCTTTTAGGGGGGGAAAAAGTGCATCTTATACTCTGAAAAATATGGTAAATGCCCTCGTCTGCTCTTTCCTCTTCAGTTGTGAAATCTAACAAGCTATTCTGTGTTCCCTCCATTTTTATACATTTACACATCTTTAAAATATATTTTTGGTAAATATTACTTCAAAAGGTCTCCTATAACTCAATAAGCGCAGCTGGGCACACTTGCACTTTAACGTATATGGCACTATGCTGCACATCATGAATAGCCTGAGGCACCTTTAAAATGCCTGCTGTTCCAAACAGTAATAGCTAATAAATACCACAGTCCATTTCTGCAGGCATCACAGATGAACAAGATGCCAATGGAATATAAAGCATACTTAATGCTTTCTGGCTGTTTCCTTAGACTGATTCTAAGGAGACTTTTAGCAAGGAAATAACGTAAAAACACTTCAAACAGTGATATTCTATTTCCAACTTTTCTAGGCTACAGTTAGCATTTTGTTGATTCTAAACCAGTTATCTACTTGGATAGGCAATTAACTGTCTTCAGGAACTATTGCATAGCAAGACCAAACATAATTAACAGAAGCATATAAACTGTATTCAGTGCTGTTCCATATAGTACAAGGACTGCATTAGAAACTTGAGAATATGCTGAAGTACCTGAGAAGATGTTGAAGTACGGATATTGCTAATGGATCTTGTAAACAGGCAGGGTTCACGGGAGTGCCTTGATTGACAGTACCACATATTTCTTCTAAACTAGGGAGGGGAAGAGAAAACTGTCAGTAACACTGAAGGTCAAAATACCTTTGAAATGGGGCGTTGGTTATTTCATTGATAAGCTGTCTTTCCTGTAGGAACTCAAGTCAGTAAGCACAGAGTCTCCATGCAGTTTATTTATTTATTTAATTTGATTTATATGCCGCCCTTCTCCGGAGACTCAGGGCGACTTACAATGCGTTAAGCAATAGCCTTCATACTTTTGTATATTTATATAAAGTCAGCTTATTGCCCCCACAAACTGGGTCCTCAATTTACCTACCTTAGAAAGGATGGAAGGCTGAGTCAACCTTGAGCCTGGTGAGATTCGAACTGACAGTAATTGCAGACAGCTAGTGTTAATCACAATGCTATCAGTCTGCTGAGCCACCAGGCCCTGGTGGACTACCCATTACAACATCCCTATGAATTAGAATGGGTTGAGGGGGAAGGTCTCTAATCCATTAATAGTGCAGCAGCAAGTATCTAGGAATAAACTTGTATTATAAAATTTGAAAAGTCTTTAGTCATCAGTCTAAAATCTGAAAACCATCATTATAATAAAATAACACTTCCTCGGTACTCATCAGCAACCAAACATGTAATGCCTTGTTTAAGATAACATAAAGGTAAATGTTCCCCTCGCACATATGTGCTAGTTGTTCCCGACTCTAGCGGGTGGTGCTCATCTCCGTTTCAAAGCCGAAGAGCCAGCGCTGTCTGAAGATGTCTCCGTGGTCATGTGGCCGGCATGACTAAAGGTGCACGGAACGCTGTTACCTTCCCACCAAAGGTGGTCCCTATTTTCCTACTTGCATTTTTTACGTGCTTTCGAACTGCTAGGTTGGCAGAAGCTGGGACAAGTAACGGGAGCTCACCCTGTTACGCGGCCCTAGGGATTCGAACCGCTGAACTGCCGACCTTTCGATCGACAAGCTCAGCATCTTAGCCACTGAGCCACCACATCCCTAAGATAACATAGAGGAAAGTAATAACTGAAGCAAAACACTTGGACTTTAAACTTGTTCCACTTCAACTGAGCCAAATCTTGCAAGAATGAAATAAAATAGCACAGCACAATCTTAAAAGGACCTCAGTTGTTTTGTGGAAATGGTACATTAGTACAAGCATTTGACTGATCACGGCAAAGAAGTTATTGCACAGTTGTGGTTTCAGAAGAAAAGGGAAAGGCAAACTACCAAATCTTCAAAGCAGTTCTTTGCTTCTTGGTGGGCTGTATATAAACAATAGGGCAATTATAGCAGGATTATATATTATATTCTATACATTAAAAAAATCTAAAATGGTTAATTCTTTTTATACTCTATTGAGTTCTGCTTCCTGTTTAAAATTAGGATTGTTTCCATTACTATACTCCAGAACTAGACTCTTATTACTAAAAATTCTTTTGCAGCCTCTATGGAAATACAGAAATACTCTATGGTTGTATTCATAGGAATTATGGGAACTCTTCAAAGCAGATACGTGCTTTGGGAGAACAAAAGGAAAAAGTTTCATTATATGAAATGGATGGAACTCTTTAGTAAAATTTGCCCACTTGCCTGCTCTATGTATTTCATCTTATTTAAGCACACTGAAGCTACAGCAGAAAAGTTCCCAATCCCTTTTGCTTGCAGACAACTTTCATTCTGACCCAGATGAAGGCCAACTCAGAAAAAAATGGGGCCCAAATCATCCCTCAATACCTGTGCAGCCTGGCATGTGTATATTGCAAGAAGACACCCGTATCGCCTTTGCTTTGAAGAACGTGATCCCAGTTAAACCGATAGTCAGACGATAAAAGGCCTTTGAAGTCCTGAAATGACAAATTATTCAAGAACTTTGTAGATAGCTTTCAGCATGCCTGAAACTGATCTTGCCATTGATTAGATGACAGACCTGAATGATAAGTGCTGCGAGCCCAATCCGTTCTGCGATCTCAGGAGGATTGTCACATTCTTTTGTGGCTGACCAGATAAAAGGAGAAAAGCCGTTATTTCACCAACAGATACAGAAGGCTGCTGGTAGAAGCTGCTTCTGAAACCTTTCTTTATGAAGTGGTCTATTTAGTTATAGGAGATAATAGGAACATGCTCTTTGTCATATCTTGACTATGGTTAACAAAATCAGGAAAACATATATACATAATTTTGTAATTTATTTATTAAATTTGTATCCCACTGCTATTTAAAAAACCCCTTGGAGATTCAGCTTCCTTTTACTGTGTTTCCCTGAAAATAAGACCCTGCCTTATATTTTTTTGAACCCCGAAATAAGCACTTGGCCTTATTTTTGGGGAGGTCTTATTATTTTGGGGCACGTGGAGTAAGACAGGGCTCCTCTTGCCGTCTGTCTTACCTGATTTTTAGCTCTGTCTCCCTAACCCTAACCAGGGGAAATGGGACACATGTGTTTAAATATTTTCGGGGGGGAGGTGTATTTTAGCACATGCGCTCAAAAGCACGATTGGGCTTATTATCAGGGGATGTCTTATTTTCGGGGAAGCAGGATACATTTCTAACATACTGTGGCATCAGCAATGATTAAATAACTTCATTTTTCAAAATGAGTGTAGAAGTCTTTTAAATTGTTCAAAGTTTCCAATATTCTTCCAACTCTATACTGGGTATCAATACATGTGAAAATTATCTTTTAGAGAAATAATTTAGAATGGGATTGTGTTAGAGACCTAATCCAAGCAATGTCAGATATTAAAGCTACAACTGATAGATACAGAAAAGAATAAATAATGCAAAACGTTTCAAAATAGTAAAGTATCATCTATTAGTAAATAAATAAATAAATACGAACTGAAAAAACTAAATTAGTCAAAGAAGTCTTGAAAAAGGATATAATTTCACTGACTGACAGAATGCCTTCAGAGTAGAATGATAAAATTATTGAATTATTTTCCTGATTACTTAAACATATTTTATTACTAGATCTTCTAAAGATCTAGTAATCTTTTAAAGATTTAAAAGATCTTTTAAAGATTGAAATATAGGTTACAAATAAAGAGGTCCGTATATGGAAAGCAAAAGAAGCTGAATTAATTGTGGCTTTGACTGCCCTATAGAGTGGTGAAGCACACATACTTGTAGTCTTTTTTCTAGAATCAGAATAAAATATTAATTTAACAGAGAAAATTTATTGGCTAACTTTTTGTTGAGGCACGTCTTTCTAATACCAGGGAACAAGTTTCATTTAAAACATCTTCTAAGAAAATCACTTCTCCTTGTCGAGTTTTCATGCCTTGAATCCTCCCAAAGGGTACATGTTGACACCTACAAACATAGAGGACAAAAACATCAGTCCATCTTATGCTCAACAACTTCTGATAACTGATGAGTCTAATATACATCATAGATAAAAAGTGACATTTTCTCCGCCTTAGAAACTACGAACATATCCAGTGGTGGGTTGCCCCCAGTTCGCACCAGTTCTATAGAACCAGTAGTAAAACCGGCGGGAGGCTCCGCCCACCGACCCCGACATCATAAAAATGCTTCTGCACATGCGCAGAAGAGTGCGTGTGCAAACCAGTAGTAAAGGTAAGTAGAACCCACCCCTGAACATATCCCGCAATAAGAATGGCATTTTCATACTTTTAGAGTTAAACCTGATCTCTGAAAAATACGTTACTTCCACCCTCAGCCACAGAAGCTCTATTCCACAGAAGTTGCTGAAGTGAGGGGAAAGGGGTGAAGGAAATGCTGTAAATGCTGTTTTGAGCTTCTAAATGAAAAGTCGAATATGAATCTAATAAATAAACTACTAATCCAAGTATGAAGTGCTCTATACGTACATATTACTCATGGTCAAGAATAGTTTCTCATACTCTACTCTAATACATGTACCGATAGGAGTGGAGGTTTGCTTTACAGTTTCAGACTTTATTCCCTCCAAAAAAGGATTAGATACCAGATATATCCACATGTGTACATTACATAAGCATTCTTTCTTCCATTGCCCATGCTATAGCTATAATATGAACTATATTTTTAACAGGAAAATTTACCATCTCAATAATTCTGTAGGAAAGCTTGACATGGCAACAATGTGCCTTTATACACTGAAGACAAAGAGAACACACACACATTATTACCAACTTTATTTTTATTTTCATCTTACAAGCTTAACCTAAATCAGTTAAGAGCAACTTCATATTTGCTTAACCACAAATCAATCACTTTCCAATGTGGTAATTTACATTAGAAAAGATTAATTTCACCTTCTCCTATCTGCTGCTGTTTGTTCAATACAAGGGTGTCTTCTCCTAAGTATAAAATGTTCTTTGAGATTCATATCTTCAATATTGAATGAGAATCTTAATGAAGTGGTTGCTGTTGAAACATTTTACAAGCAACCAATTAACCCTCCAACAGGAAACAGAACTAATAGCATTTCACAGCCTTACTCTGGCATAAAGACATACTCTGCCCATATAAATATTTAGAACATTTGATTTGTCACATTTTCCTCTTCTAATGTTAAAAATACCATTGTTCAGTTTATTTGTTTTTTTAAAAAACTAAATGTCTTGATATGTTCACATTTACCTTTCTGCCCAACTGAAACCAAGTAATTTCAGAATCTGGAACATCTGTTGAAAATGCGAGCTCTGACTTTTATCTGTCTTAGAAAAGGGGGAAAACAATTTAGTCATTTAGTGCATAACAATCAAATGCAAAAAGCATTGTCACAGTTGATTTCCAAGGAAAAAAATAATGCTATGAAAATTGGATTTATCTCGTGTGAGTTTTCTTCGGAAAATAGAAAAAGTTCCGATGTTCAAATCATAACTGGGACAATGGAAGGCTTATCTATATTTCATATTATAAGATTTTCATATTATATTATTAATATATTATAATGTATTATATCATATCATAATAGTATATTAGTATTATAATAGTAATATATTATTTCATATTATAACATTCTTTGTTGTGATTGTTCTTCCTGCATCAACTCAGAAAGCTCAAACTGTCCAAGAAGCTGCTGATACAGTTATACAGAAGAATTATCTGTCATCTGTACATCTATAACCATCTGGTTTGGTACAGCAACTAGACAGGATAGGTACAGACTTCAACGGATAGTTAGGACTGCAGAAAAAATAATTGCCGTAAACAGAGATGACTGTCCAACCTAATTACAGTAAAGGAATTAAAGGACACTTGGTTGGAAAAGATTAGTTTTGTCAAACAAGACATTGATCTGATGTCACTAAATTGCAGGTTTCCTGAATCTACCAGCAGTGCCTATCAAGCTTAGAGAAGTTGGGACTGATCAGCATATGGCCATAGAAACCTGAGTTACAAATATTCTCCTTTATTGGTGAACAGCATATTACGATATCATTATTTTCTTAGAAAACACTTATCTTTTGAAATGGTTAGCTCAAATCTAATAAAATTTCTTAAAATGCTTAAGATACTTATAAAAAGTACATTAACATCTTCATCGTCTACCAAAGCCATTTATATAAAGCATAGAATACCTACGACATATAACATAACGTCAGGGTTATATTTTTCCATTCGGTCTATAGCAGCAGCAAGATCTCTGGAAATGAAACATGAAGAACTGATAAATCCTCCAAATGAAATATTCATTTATTTTATTTATTTATTTTTTTAAAAAAACTTCTATGTTACCTTTCAAAATCATAAGCAGTTTGTGATTATATCTGTCCACCAGCAATAGTCTATTAAATATATCAATAGGGTTGAAATAATGTGCTGTTTACTGATAAACAATCACACAACATGCTTGCCTTGTTAAGTAAAGTGAAGTTCCATCGCTACGCATCACAGCAACCTGGTCTCCATTTTCAGAAAGACAAACTTTTCCTACTCCTTCTCTGAAAATGATGAAAAAAGCATTGAACAAACTACTTGCAAGAAGGAATTGTAATGGTTTTCTTAATATCCACTTCCATCCATCCAGCTAGCTAGCTAGCTAGATAATAGATAGCTAGACAGACAGACAGGCAGACAGATAGTGTTCTGGTATGTCAATAATTAACAATTTAAGGATATTGCAAGAAAGATATAAAAATGCTTTGAAGTTGTGGTTTAATGTTAATGGGGAATAAAAAAGGCAATTGTAAACCCTGAAAAAAAAGCTCAATGTGCTTTTTAAAAGTGCTTTCCCCCAAACAAAAAAGAAAGTCACAGCGCCATGTATATAATACAGCCCCAATTTACCTACTGCAGCCCTCGTTCAACTGGGCAACATTAAAAACAGCCCCCGGTCATCAAAGGGCTTCTCATTATTGCATTTCATTATCATGTACAAAAGATTCCCCCTCCTCCAAAGCTGCTGGGATAATACATTGTAGTTTGTTTTCCCCAACTTCTTATTTGCTACTACACGCAAAATAGGTCTTGTGATTCAAATAAAAGCTGGCTTAATGAATCAAATTTAAAATAGGAAGATTTGACATTAGCTTCTTCAGCACTTAATCAGAAATGACTTTAAATCACCATGTTTGAACTAAAACACAGCAAAAATATAGATCTTGGGGAAATAATCTTCCTTTACAAATTACAATGGCAAAGGAAGAAAAGGAAGAAGGAAATCTGAACACAAGATCTTGTTCAGTTCACATATACTCTAACTGTACTCCTGTGTACATGTACTCCTATTTGTGTTACAGAATTTTTGAGGCTAGATTGGATTTAAAAAAAATCTCAGAATTCACAGACAGCTTGGCCAATGTTAGTTCTGGATAGGGAAAAAAAAAGCTTTAGCTCCATAGATCTGGAGACATCTAGTTAGGTAAGATTGTCCTAAAGAACCTTTAAGGTAATACATGAAAAATACCATAGAATGTCGAAGATGGTATTGATGACTTTTCTTCTGTCCTATGCTGTCTGCTGGATGGAAGGAAAGGTACATATGGAAGTATGAGGAGCTGGCAGTTCACCATTATTTACCTCAGGCCTGCAAGTTTTGTAAACATTTCAGATTCCATTTCTCATCTTAAAGATGTATATGTTGCCCCCTTCCCAAATAAAGTATCTCTGAGTGAAACTTTCCTCTGTATCTGCATGTCAGTATTCACAAACTTGTTAGTTATTTAAATCAGCAAATATTAAAAATATAGTTCAGACAAATGGTCCAGCTTTAAAGTGACATAGCTTGCACTCAACATACAATACATTAAGACAAAGAAACAGGCATTTCAAAAAACTGGAAATAAGAATCTATTCATACATTTTTGTAAGAAGTCCTTTTGCATCCAACCTCTTTAGAACTTCTTTACTTTTCTCTTGATAAAATGATTCTCCAGAATATTCATTAAAGTAGATTCCGAGACGCTGGACAATCCATCAAGAAAAGAGGAAAATAATTACAATCAGCAAGAATAATGTCAACTATGAGACCATTCCCTTCTGACAAAAGGCTTTAAACCCCAGAATTCCCACTCAGCACAGCCTTGTAATCTCTGCATTTCTGATGGCTTCCTGCTTGAAGACTTTCTAGAGACTAAACCAAAATAGACACAGCAAATGAAAATGGAGCTTAAAAAGAAAATCAAGAGATATTGAAAAAAAAGAGAAAATCCTATTCTGTCATGTAGGAATGTTACAATACTTTGCCAAAATTAATTGCTGACATTTATATTATTGTTCCATTAATATGCTATTAATTCACAAAAGGTTTTTTATATTGAATTCTATCCTACAGATATTCTACTAAATTAGCAAGGTTCCATGTGCAGGCTATGTGAAACAAAAAACAAAATGAAAACAATGCACCAGAATATTATTCAGTAGTGGCCAAAATTGTGGAAACCTTTTGGGAAAAGTGTATTTTTGAGGTTTGATGGTTAATAACACCACTTTTTTTTTGGGAGTTTCAGGATAAGCATATTCCACTGCTGGAATGGCCTGGGAATAGCCCAGACCTTAACCCAAATGAAAGTCTATGGAACCGACTAAAGAAACTTGTTAGTCAGAAGCAACCCAGCAATAAAACCCAGTTAATAGAAGCAATCATTCAATCTTGGTTTCACATTATAACAGCTGCAGAACTAAAAGACTTGGTTCATTCCATGGGAAGATGTTGTAAGACCGTAATTTATGCTAAAGGTTACCCAAATAAGTATTAACTGATGTGATAATTTTTGTATATCTCATTTTTCTACGTGTGTCACTTTTCTTCTTTATACTGTAACTGCTATTCTAATAGCAAATCCTTCATAAAAGTTATTGCATTACATTTTTGATTAAATTATCTTTACATTGATATATACCGTAATTTTATGGTACTACTTCCCAAAAAAGTGGTGTTATTAGCTAGTTTTAGAAAATACACTTTTCCCAAAAGGTTTCACTACTGTATTACTCCAAATGACATGCACCTATTCATTTCATATATCTCTTTACATCTGTTCCATCTATCCTTGATCATCTTAATTATAACTCATCATGAATATTTTGTTAGATTTTACAATACAATTTGTTTCTACATTGTCAATTATTGCTTAATAAACTTCACTTACAACTAATTTAGCTATTTTTTCTTAATTAATTTTCAAATACACTATGTTCCTATGCACCAATGCTGCATTGTTTTATTTTTATTTAAGTATGTTATGTCTCTATTGCTGGATTTTGTTATAGGTTGTTCTAAGTTGGTCACTGATTAAAATAAAACTATCTCTCTTTCTAAATCATATAGTATAGTGGCCTGAATCATATTGTGTCAGGGAATTCTAAGGATGCACATTTTTCAGAAATGCAAAGATATTCAAGTGTTGTTATACATAGACTGTGATAATTCCTAAATACTGAACGAAAAGATTCAAGTCAGCACCTTATAAACCCGAGCATATTCTTCAATGCTAACATCTCTAAAATGTTGCCACAATGACACAGCCTCTTCTTCCTGTGCTTCCAATTTTCTAAAGAAATCTTGTGCCAGAGTTTTAATATTTTCATCCTCTTCTGAAGCTTTATTGACCTGTACATAAACCTGTAATTTTTTTTTAAAAAAAGAAAAATACAGGACAATTCAAACTAAAAGTCTTCTCCATTAACAAAAAATTACAATAGTCCATGGTGAACCCTTTACTTTGTATTCAAGACATTCCAGGTTCAAAATCCTGTAATCTTCACCACAATGGCAAGGATCACAGGAAGCTCAACAAGGAAAGACCACTACCCCAATAGTTTTTTTTACCATTTTTAAGGAATTCATTTTATTCCAGAAGTCTGGAAATACAAACAAGAAAGCAAAATAAAAATATTAAAAAAAGAAAGAATTGGAGGGTTGATACATTTAGGGGCATTCACATTATGATTTTAATAGAGTATCACTATATTAACATACCTCAAAAAGATGCTGCAAAGGATTAGATTTTAGTTTTTCTTCAGAACCAAACCACTGGAAGCCAGCTCCCAACAGCCCTGAAAAAAGTAATTCTTTCTCATGTAACAAAAGAATTTTTTAAAAATAAAATCAGTGAATAACTTGCCTTTCTTCTATTTTCAGTAATAAAAATGTGGATGGTAAAATCGTCTAAATTTATAAAGTAAGTCTCAAGATTATACTAACCAAAAACACATTTGTGCATGCTATAAATTTTGACTCCCATAAAATTATAGCCCACTGGCTATAAGGATATTGATCAAGTGACATAAAAGGACATACATTGTGTACTTAAATACTGAAACAGGATTTGTACTGAGGGTAGGCAAGGATGTGCATAAAACAAGGAAACAGAAAATTTGTCCTGAATGGCACAAACCTACTCATACTAACTTTTACATCATGACAAGGTATGTGCAGGGAGTGGGGAGTGTGCGGGGAGTGGGGGGGGCATTATGAACATAAGGAATGAAGAAGCAAAAAGAGGTTACACTGGAAGAAACAACCAAGAGGAAACTAAGTTGCTAAGAAACTTATTAATTTTGGAGTATTTTCTATACAAAGAGGATCCCATTCAGCTTATCCTTGATGTTTATTGTTTACTTGCTGATTTCTAAGCGATCTCAATCAGAAAGTTATTCGAGCTGGCTTAAAGAATAGGATTTTTTAAAAAACACACAACCCAAACATTATAGAAGAATAAACTAATATACACACCAACCACCATATTTGGATCATCTCCCTATATTTTTGAAGATCCATGAAAATATAGCCCTTCCTGGAGACAATTGGAGATCCTTGAAGAATTCACTGAGATTACTAGTAACATATCAGGTCCTTCTTGTTGTTATGTCATTGATTTTTAAAGGTATATTTTAAAATTATGTTTACTATTTCTCAGTAACTACAAATTTTCAAAAATGGAAGACATATATGTGAAGGAACAAAGAAATACACAAAATATCCTGGAGCTGCAGAGCTTCCCGATGCTGAGGAGTCCTGACATTCACAAATTAACAATGGAAGTCTGCACTGTAAAAATGACCATATACAGATGTTTATGAATCTGGCTTACAAGGTCTTGAATCCTGTTTGTCATCTAAGGATTCACAATACAAATGTCTCCATTTAATGTGTAGATATTAAAGGGGGGGATTAGAGACAGGGAGAGGTGTCGTACAAGAGGCTGGGACTATTCTGCCATGAATAGTGGAACTCCCTTTGTGTCAATAATATGAAAAGCGCCACTGAGGTAGCCAACACAATCTAATGTTTGGATATCATTGTTTGGATACTGATCAGATCACCTGAAGATCAAACTGGGGATACTGAATTTATCTTAGATTTGGGCAATATTAAACCTTTTGCTTTGCACTCTTGCTTCGTTTCATTAACAGTAATTTCTACTATTTTGCAGGGGAGTTAAAGGAGAATAATTTACTGCATAAATCATGGTTTATTTTCATATTCTGAATGTTAAAAAAAAATTCTACAGTTACCTATTTACATAATTTCTTCAGCTCTCTCACCCTCCCTTTATTATTTCCCTCTTTTTTTCCTTATCTTTTTTTCATTTAATTTTATTGTGAATTCTTGGATTAAACAGCAATTTATTCTTAACACAGAGATTTTCTGGGTTAATTGCTTGTGCTCTGTAAAAAGACACACTGGGTGTTAAGTGTGGTGATAAAAGCTAAAATACAATTGTTAAACTCAGACATTATCTGATCTCAGCCTGTGAGGCTGAGAGTGCCTCACAGCCTGTGAGGTGCACAGACTGTAAATATGGAATTAATAAAACTAGGTTACATCCTATTCAAAATAATAACTGCAGAAAAACAGAAGCTTTGTTTGCTTGCCCAGCAGATTTCAGAAGGACACAATAGAAACAATAACAGAAACTAATTGTAGTAAATATATCAGGGAAGCACTGCTATTTGAAAAAAATATGAAAATTTGATGTTTTGAACCATGATCATATAAATTCAAAGGACCCCAGAACAAATGTCGGGAGTTTCTTGCATGGGAGTAAAAGATTATTTTCTTCAACTGAAATAATATACTTTTCCACAGAACATTAGGACCTATCCAAATCTCACTACAAATGTGAAATACAATCCAAGCATAGGAGGGTCTTGCACCTGGTTCCTTCTCTGTTACAGTCAAAAGACCATGGCCATTCGGGAATTTGTTGCTGAGAAATTAAAAAAGTTTCTTGCCTTCACATTCTTATTGTTTTTGGTATAATTAAATATGTATAGATATAGACTGGATGGTTCAATACCTACAGTAAATCTTGTTTTATGGATTTTTAGATTTAAGTTCAGTGATTTATCATTAAGGTGTAGAAAAATTATCAAAAGAGCAAAGGAATTTACAAATTGCACATATCAATATTCTCAGTTTAAAAAATGACCCAATCTCTCTTGGCCAGCTTTGGGTCCTCATATTCATTTCCACAATAGAATTGAAATCTTTTCATTTAAAAAAAAGCTCATTATAACAAGGTTCAAAATAACCAGCCCTAGATTATGTTACACTAACCATTAGATCGATTAAAAAAAAATAATTACCAAACTGCATGCCCCAGTCTCCAAGATAATTTATTCTTGTTACTTGATGTCCAATCGCTTCATTGATATTTGCTATGAAATTCCCTGAAAATAAATCACAGTAATTATTTGTTCCAGCTGTATTCTTATCCCCAAATGCTCATTTTATGTAATCAGATCCCCCTTTTCTATCACTGTATAGGTACTCTTCAGTTAATACCAGTCAATGACTGTTTAAAGATACAATTAGTATTGGTGCCAAACAAGCGGTGGTTACGATTGGTCCTCAAAGTTCCGGTCATTCCAGCACCTCTCTGGTCATGTGATCATGATGTGGCAAACGGCTCACACTTACAACCATCAAAGCACCTGCAGTCACACAATTGTCATTTGTGACCTTCCCTGCCAGGTTCCCATTACCTAACTTTAATAAGAAGAACTATGAATCTACATTAAGTAATAAATGTAAGGGAACACAAATCAGAGGAAGCAAATTTCCAGGCTTGAAAAGAACGGATTACACCTGTAGGCTCTAGTTTTTCTGTAGCTCTTATTTAATATATATTATCTAGAAAGGTCACAAGCTGATTCTGAGTCTTTCTTTTGAACTTTTGAATTATCTAAAGTTCTTAGATGAAAAATAATTCAGTTTTGCTCTTTCAACATTTGAGTTAAAACTAGCTGGTTATTTTTTTCTTTATTCCCAAAGTCATTGTTTAAAAGACTTTGATTCTATCTCAATCTGGTCCCCTTCTGAGAAACTTTCAAAATGCACACAAGCAATACCCATTTAGCAATGTCTTCAAAGCAGCTCAAAGCTTATCGTGTAGCCGAAGACTAAATATCAAGTAACTAAGATTAAAAATTAACATTAACAGATTAACAGAGTTGGGAGGGACCTTGCAGGTCATCTAGTCCAACCCCCTGCCCAAGCAGGACACCCTACACCTGCCTCTACCTAGGATCGAACTCACAACCTCCTGATTGTGAGGCAAGAGCTCCATCTCCAGGCCACCGCGTCTTGTATATCAGCACCTACTGTTCACAGGCTAGTTACAAATACTGTCACTTAGACTACATCATCATATTCAGAAGGTTTCCTCATTTATAGGCTACAATTTAGTTATATTTAGATCTTACCTATTAATGTAGAACGCAGGTGACCAACGTGAAATTTCTTTGCAATGTTGGGTGAACTGCAAGAAATGTGAACATTCATCATTTAGATTCCATTCCTCACCTTCCAAGAAAGGAATAGAGATGTCAAACCAGACTTTATCTCAACACTTGTTATCTATTTATAACCCCCCCTTTATTATTTTTACAAATAACTCAAGGTGGTGAACAAATCCAACACAGCTTCCTCCTATTTCCTCCACAATCCAGGGAGGTAGGTTGGGCTGAGAGAAAGAAACTGGCCCATGGTCGCCCAGCTGGCTTTCATGGCTAAGGTGGGACAAAGATATTCTCCATTTAGCTCACACTGTGAAGCTTGTAAAGGAAAACACAAATGACATACTAATCAAAGCAAACAATATAGCAGTGATGGCTAACCTTTTCTGGATCGAGTGCCGAAAGCGTGGGCATGCATGCCCGAATGCGTGCGGGAGCGCCCGAACCCCCAAAATGCAGTGTGCGCAGCCCCTTGCATGTGACCCCCCCTCAGGCCTCCCACCCCCATGCATGTGCGCGCACCCCCCGCACGCGCCCCACCCCCTGCGCATGCACAGCAGAGACCTGAAGAACAGCTGGCTAGCGGGAGACACGCATTCATGCATGGCGCAGCTGAACTGGGGCAACGGCTTGCATGCCCACAGAGAGGGCGCTGCGTGCCACCTCTGGCATGTGTACCATAGGTTTGCCATCATGGCAATATAGTATGGCGGAGTAAACGGAACCATGGGCATTTCCACTGCAATAAACTAAACACTTATGAACAAAATCAATACTGAAGGACATATATTGCATGCTAAACCACAGGTCTTTCAAAAAAACAGCAACCCCAAATTGCACTTTGTATCTGTATTCACGTTCTTTCCTATATTTTATTGCAATATGACACAACAAAATTGTGTCGTAACTGAACCCGAGTATATCATATGTTCAGATGTAAAAAGATTGATTTCAATACTCCCTAAACCAAAGTGCATGCTTTACTAGAAAGAAATGAACCAAGCCAATCTTAGGCCAATGAATCAATGCTGATTTTCAGACCGGTTACTTACATAACCAATCTGTAAACCTGCATGGTATATTAGTCATGCTCCAAAATAAATAAGCCTGTATACTCACCTAAAATCAATCAGAACCTTTCTTTTTGGCAAGCCTGAGAAAAGTTCGCTCTTTATTCCGTATTCAGAGCCATCTTCAAATACTTGCTGCAACACTGTCTTAGGAAGCAAAATACACATAGCTTCAGTGGGAGTAATGAATTAAGAGATCATTTTAAGACCAAGGTAATGCCTTTCATGGATATTTGCAAGATCATGAATCTCTCATTCTGCAAAAACTTTCAAAGACTTCACACCATCTAATCAGACATCTGCAAATGCTTTTCAAGTGCACAGATAGCAAGCAGCCAACACTAATTCATCGTTTTGAGTTTTGATTACTTTTTTGAACTGAGAACACTCATTTTTCAATCTGCCCCATGCTCTGTTCATAAAACATGGCATTCATATCCATATAATTATATTTTTAAACACGTTACCAATATTATGATTAATAATATTGTCAATAATTACTTGTTGATATAAATAACATTATTCCTCCTGCAAAAATGATTTTTTTTAAAAAAATCTGCTTTTAGATGATTGCTACTCCTTTTTATCCGTAAACTATATTTTATTTGTAAACTATATTTTATTATGTAGTTTATATTTTTTAAACTTACATCTTTGGGAAGATCATTTAATTTAAAACTATGGAATAAGAACTATATGCTCTATACTGGTATCTATTATAGAAAACACTAGCTTCAAATTTAGCATGTTTTCCTATTCTGCAGTTCATAAGACATTAGCTCTTACCTTTGCTAATAAGTCTCGATTTATTGTGAAATCTACTGTTCCTTTACCTGGGCTGATTTGGCTCACGACTGCATCACATTTTAGCTAAAACAAAAGTAAAGCATAGAGACAGAAGAGTATGTCACAAATAAGCAGAATTATCTTATACACTGTGTTATGTAACTTCACATTTTCAAGCAGCCTCTGCAAGGAGAGCAAGGAGGTAGAGCAGCACTGCAGTGAGCGGCCTGTTATTTTTCTATGTGCATTTGCACACATAGCAAGCACATTCCAAAGGGGCGGAGCCTGCACACCAAAATGCCGCTGTGTCTTTCTGACAAAAGTAGCAAGAACTTGTACACAATGTTGTTTTCAAGAATTATAGCAACTGTAGCTGGGTCATCCATGCAAACAGTATTTAACTGTATTTCAAGCAAATTTGGAAAGACCATAGATTGCAATTGTTGGAAGGTAAGTGGCTTTTTTTCTTTTCACTGGTAAAAACAGCAGGGCAAAGAATTGACCCTCCAAAGCCTTCATAATCTGTACGATACCATTTTTCATAATATTTATGCAGTATAAAACATTTGATAAGCACTTTTTATTGATGCTTCCAAACAACGCTTATTACTACATACCTTGTTTGCCAGCTCTTCTGCCTGAAGATTAATATCTGAAGTGGTGTAATTTGTAGAATTTGCGTCTAATATAGGACTCATAGAAAACTGGAACTCAGCAGTTTGCCTTTGAAAAAAAGGGGGGAAATGTAAAGGTACAGACTTTTTTCGTGACAGAGGGATCAGGATTCCTAAGGTTTAGAGTTAACTTAGCTGGAAATATCTAGAGTAACTTCATCCCCAAAAGTTTCTGAAGCAGCAAATAATCTGTGAAACTAATATGCCCAGTTAACAATATACAAGCTAGACTTTGTTTCCTATTCTTCAAACGCTAAAAGCCATAAAATAGCACTTAGAGATCTGTTTGCCCAATGATGCCTTATGGAAATGTTAGGAACTTCTAGTCTCTCAGATGTTGCTGAACTACAACTTACAGTAGTCCTGGTCAGCAATGCAAGGGATACTGGGAATTACAGTTTACTAATATCTGAAGGTGGCTGGCTCCTACTCCTGTCTTAGGTGATGCTAGAAATAATGCGAATTAGAAACAGAGACTGAATGAGTTAAAACACTGTGTCAGGACTTTATCCCTAGTTTTATTTGCTATTTTGTATGTATGACAAAAGCATCTCAAGAAATTGAATTCTAAAGTATATATCTCCTACCTATTTTTTGATACTGGAACAGCAGAGATTGATTTTACCAGGTTTTCTGGCGGGATCTTCAAAACATGTGAAAGCTATTTGAAATAAAATTGCCAAACTTAGTGTGGAAGAATAAACAGGCAACAACATCCTTGCCATCATTTTATCTTCTATTTCATTACATTAAAATTTATCACATATAAACACATACAGAGGCTACATTCTTACAGTGCACAGATGGAGATTCATCATTCTTTCCTATTTCCATAAGAACTGAACAATATTTATTAGAAGAATGAATGTGATGTGTCAGGGGTCCCCAAGCCCCCAGCCACTATGGGGCCATGGCCTATTTGGAATTGGGCTGTGGAAGCAGTGGGTGAGCTGTGTGCGTGCCTGCAGCAGACGGGTGGGTGGGAGGGCACAAAGCTTTATTTGTGCGAGCTGTGTGCGTGCCTGCTGCTTGCGCAAATGGAGCTGTGCACGCATGCATGCACATGCCACTCGCACACAACCATTCCCTCTCCCCTCCACCCTCCTGGTTCGTGAAGCTGGAAAGGTTGGGGACCACTGTCATACATTGTGGAACTGGAGTTATCTTTTCCATTGAAGATCAACATTTAGATAAAGAACTACAACTTTGAATCTAGAAGGTACAGGGGCTTCAAATCCAAGCAAGCGAATAGATAAGTCCAGCTGCTGTAAGACAAGTGAGGGAATATCCATTGCTCCCTTTTGGGTAGCAACGCCATACCTGAATATGGACAACTACCCAACTTGAAGCAGATCTTCACAAGCAACAAGAAACAACAGAGCAACGATTCCAATATAGGAAACAAACCCTGCTGCAACAACACTAGGTGCCTACTTTGCCCCTATACCAGAGGTGGGTTTCAGCAGGTTCTGATCAGTTCTGGAAAACTGGTAGCAGAAATTTTGAGTAGTTCGGAGAACCGGTAGTAAAAATTCTGACTGGCCCCGCCCCCATCTATTCTCTGCCTCCCAAGTCCCAGCTGATCGGGAGGAAATGGAGATTTTACAGTATCCTTCTCCTGCCATGCCCACCAAGCCACGCCCACCAAGCCATGCCACGCCCACCAAGCCACACCCACAGAATCGGTAGTAAAAAAAAAATTTGAAACCCACCACTGCCCTATACCAACATCACCATCACAGACCCCAGCAAGTACCTACAGAGAATTATTATGTGTCTTGATGTGTTCATCTTCCAGTGCACAAGAATCAATAGACACAAATTTGACATCAATACTTAAACCAAGGGCAAAGCTATATTGGAGCATTTCAGTCTCCCAGGACATTACAAGGCAGACCTCGAAGTGATTTTTTTTGGAAAAACAGGTCTTAGTAGCATAGATTGTTATATGTGGAAAGATTTCAGGGTATTTAAAAAGGAACCAGAAAACACAATGTTTTCTTCAAACATTAAAAATTCATAAACATGTGTAATCTCTCTCATAAGTAACTTACATCTGCATAATCAACCTGTCTTCTCCTCTTCTCCCAATCAGCCTACCCATCTTAGCATCTGATGAAGTGAGCTCCATGAGCTCATAACTCATACTTGTTTAAAAATAAAACTTGTTCTTTGGAAAAGGGGCTACCAAATTCCTGATTTCTCCCCCCCACCCCGAGGAAGGAATACATTTATTTATTTATTTATTTTATTTATTTGTTCAATTTATATGCCGCCTTTCTCCGAAGACTCAAGGCGGCTTACAATACATTTAAAAACCATATATAAAACATTAAAAGTTAAACCATTAAAAACAATTAAAACCCATTCAAACCATTCATGGCCGGATCTCGCCAAATCGCAGCAGCGAGATCAACGGCCCCAGGCCTGCCGGAAGAGCCAGGTCTTCACCGCTTTTCGGAAGGCCAATAGGGTGGGGATGGTCCGGACCTCAGGAGGTAACTGGTTCCAGAGAGCTGGGGCAGCCACATTACGGAAGTTTTTGAAAAATATTTTCAAAAAACATCTCTTTGAAAAATAGACAGGTATTTCAGCATCTCTGGCATGCCAAAAGACAATGCATTATTTTACTGAAATCCACATAAATTATATCCACAGCATTTCCCTGATCCACTAATTTAATCGCTTTATTAAAGAAAATAATAAAGTTTGTCTGTCAATAATCCATGGAACAGTTTGCCTTCTGGAGTTGTGGGTGCTCCATCGCTGGAGGGGTCTCCAACCTTGGCAACTTTAAGCCTGGCGGACTTCAACTCCCAGAATTCCCTAGCCAGCTTTGCAGAATTCTGGGAGTTGAAGTCCGCCAGGCTTAAAGTTGCCAAGGTTGGAGAGACCCCTGAACTAGAAGACCTCCGAGATCCCTTCCAGCTCTATGATTCTATAAAAAGGGACGATCAATACCTGAGCAGCAATGCACTTCCGGAAACGACACCTCGCCATAGTTCTTGTTAGAGTGGCGCTCTCCGCTTTTCCACTCCTCCGTCACGGAACTCCTCCCACTTGGGGGTAGGAGCCACTCCAGCCTGACTTCCCTTTCTGGTAAACGGGGGCGGGCGCAGAACTCGCCTCACAAAAGGAGACTATGCAGATGACGAGCACGAGCCGGACTGCTACTAGACCGTACCGTTCGCAGGGCGGGAAAGAAACGGTTGCACGTCGCTGATCCCGGAAGCGGGGGGCGGGGGTGGGGAATAGAAGGGGCTCCCTCCGGAAGTCCGTCCACGAATGTTGGCGGGTCTGTCTTGGCGCCGGAGGAGGTTTCAGCCTTCGCTATGAGCACGTGCTCGGTTTCCAAGGTGAGTCGGAAGGAGAGGGAGTGGATTCAGTCCCCTCCCTCGAGGAATCGAACGGACGCCTCGCTTTCGGGTCCGCGAGGGAGTTTCAGTTCGAGATCCTGGTGGTCGCTTGATAATATCGGGCATGCGCAGATGGGTCGCTGAAGCTGTTAAGCTTCGTCGCTTTCCCACTTTGTGTGTGTTGTTGTGTTGTGTTGTGTTGTGTTGTGTTGTGTTGTGTTGTGTTGTGTTGCGCAGGGACAGCATCTCCTTTCGGGTTTTTGTTTCTCACCGGGAGGATAGAAAACCGTCGGAAAAGGTTGTCGAAGAAACTAAGCGGAGAAAAGCAAAGCGAGGAGCCTTGGGGGGGGGGGGGAAATGCAGCTGTGGAATGTGGTCATTAATAAAGACACTATCCTTTTCGGCAAGTCAAGTCCCTCAGGTTGCGTTGTTCAACAACCCTCCTGTCGCCCCATTGCTGTCCCATGTTCAGGAGGCAGAAGAGTAGAAAGGGGCATCGTTTCCCACAGATGGAATAGCGCTGTTAGGAAGTTTCCCCTCATTCATAGAGTGGCAGACAGACCTCTTTTGGGGGGGCAGGAAAGGGGATGTTCATGCCAGAAATAAGAGGCTCAGAACCAGAGGTGGGTTTCAGCAGGTTCTGACCAGTTCTGGAGAACCGGTAGCAGAAATTTTGAGTAGTTCGGAGAACCGGTAGTAAAAATTCTGACTGGCCCCACCCCATCTATTCTCTGCTTCCCAAGTCCCAGCTGATCAGGAGGAAATGGGGATTTTGCAGTAACCTTCCCCTGGATTGAGGAGGGAATGGAGATTTTACAGTATCCTTCCCTGCCACGCCCACCAAGCCACCCCCACAGAACCAGTAGTAAAAAATTTTGAAACCCACCACTGCTCAGAACTATCCATGCTTTGATACAGAACGTTAAGTGAGATTGCTATTGCTTATCGAGATTTTTTTATTTATTTTTATCCTGCCTTTATTATTTTTAGTAAATGACTCAAGGCGGCAAACATACCTTATACTCCTTCCTCCTCCTATTATCCCCACAACAACAATCCTGAGAGGGAATTGTTGTTGTTAGTTGCAAAGTCGTGTCCGACCCATTGCAACCCCATGGACAACGTTCTTCCAGGCCTTCCTGTCCTCTACCATCATCTGGAGTCCATTTAAGCTCATGCCTACTGCTTCAGTGACTCCATCCAGCCACCTCATTCTCTGTAGTCCCTTTCTTCTTGAGAGGGAATGGCTGACCCAAAGTTACCCAGCTGGCTTTCATGGCTAAATTTTCCTTTCCTGGCTGACCATGGCTAAGATAAGTCAGTTGAGACCAGGTTACTATATTGATGAGATATGTACAGGTGGTGGGATAATAATAATAATAATAATAATAATAATAATAATAATAATAATAATAATAATAATAATAATAATAATAATTTTATTTCTATACCGTCCTTCTCCCGAAGGACTCAGGGCGGTGTACAGCCTATTTAAAAACACAGACAAAACAACAATATAAAATTTAAAATAATTAAATAAATTGGCTCAGATTTAAAACCCCAAAAAATTAAATACCCCAATTTAAAACTATTGTGTTGATAGTCCGGCCTGGCGGAACAACAGGGTCTTCAATGTGCAGCGAAACACCCGGAGGTCGGAGATCTTACGAATTTCCGGGGGCAGTTCGTTCCACAGGGCTGGGGCTCCCACAGAGAAGGTCCTCCCCCTGGGTGTCGCCAGCCGACATAACTTGGCTGATGGCACCCTGAGGAGACCCTCTCTGTGGGAACGGACTGGTCGGTGGGAGGCTATTGGTGGCAGAAGACGGTCTCGGAGGTACCCGGGTCCTATGCCATGGAGTGCTTGGAGGCTACAATGGGAAGTGAAGAAAACATCCCAGAAAAAGGCAAACCATTTAACTACAGTTAGTCCTCGACTTACAACAGTTCCTTGAGTGACCATTCGAAGTTGCAGCAACATTGAAAAAAAGTGACTTATGACCATTTTTCACACTTATGACCATGGCAGCATCCCCATGGTCACATTGTTTATACTCAGATGCTTGTCAACTGGTTCATATTTATGAGGGTTGCGCTGTCCCAGGATCACATGATGCCCTTTTGCAACTTTCTGATATGCAAAGTCAATGGAGAAACCAGATTCACTTAACCATGTTACTAATTTAACAACTGCAGTGATTCGCTTAACAACTGTGGCAAGAAAAGTTGTAAAATGGGCCAAAACTTACTTAACAAATTTCTCACTTAGCAACATAAATTTGGGGTTCAGTTGTGGTCGTAAGTCAAGAATTACCTGTATTTCTGCTAAGAAAGCTACACAGGCATCTCTCTAAAGTTACCAGTTTGCCTTTTGTTTTCCCTAGTATTTGTAGAAAGAAACTGTAGTGCATCCTCTCTTAGTGCTTTCCTCCTAGACGGTTGACTACACAGTATCTCTAGAGCAGAGATCCCCAAAGGTTTGCAGTTGGTGGTTTGATTAAGATTTGGGGAACGTGTGTTCTTTGAAAACTCACAAAACGAGTACTACAGAAATCATAACAATTGCAAAGACATCCACAAGGAGGCTGCTGGTCACCAATAGTAGCCTTCCCCTTCTGCAAAATTGCTGCTTTTCCATTGTTCTTTTTCTGGGAGGCTGTGCATATTTCCAAACTAAACATTAGATTGCAATTGATCATTGTTCTTATTTTCTAATAAAGCTTTCGGGATCCAGGGGAAAGAGTAGAAGCAAAAATAACAGCAGTGTTCCCCCCCCTCCTCCCAATTATTTTTGTTCGTTTTCCTTGAGCAAATAACCTATTGGGTTGAACTGCTGGTAAATTGACAATCTGAGTCACCAGTTGGGAGCAAAGATTAGTGGATTTAGAGAGCTGTCCCCGCTTATTAAACATGGGAATTGGCTGATTAGTGCATAAGGAGGAAAGGAGGAATTTATATTTCTCTCTCAAATGTTATCCTGACTATTTCATGGCATCTCTTCTAGAGATCTTCCCAAGCCCAATCTATAGCCTTTGGTCTGAATCCAGTACAGGTTAGGTCCATTTATTCAGTGACTTTTCAAAGTTATAATTGATTGAAAAAAATGGACATAAGACCAATCATCAAAGTTCTGGTCATCACAGCCACCCTCTCATTCAAGTTCAAAATTCAAATTGGCCCACATTTATGATTACCTGTCCCCCCATGCCACCAGCTGACTTTTGCTTTGCATGCCTCTCCTCTACAGAACTTATCAACACCATCTAGTCTCGAGCCCTAAGGAGTGGAAGTTGTGTTGCCCCTGCTGACATTTCCTCCTCCAGCTGCCTTGTCACAGAAGAAATATCCAATAGCTGCCATGAGTTGCTGGCAAACATCTTAGCCCTACACAATAGGGGTGGGGTACCTCCAAAAGGCCACTGCTTGGCAGGATTGCCCTGACCAGCAATGGCTCATTACCCTGGCTCATGTTCTTTTCCCTTGCTCCCTTGCTCCCTAGTGCCCACCTGCAACACTTCCTCCACCTGTAGCTCTCACCCACCAGCTTATTTGCCTGTGTCTCCCACCTCTTCCCATGTCATAGTCACATTAGGTCCTCACTTAATGACCGCATGAATTAACAATGGAAATCCCAATCCTAATTGCCATTATCATTTGAGGACTATCTGTATAATTTGTCATAAGACTATTTTAGTTGATTGCTCAAACTATTTCAGTTGTAGTTTGCTAAACCTCTTAATTATAATTGTAATCTGACCCTTTGTTGGCCAATCAGTTCCAAAAACTGTGTCCATGATCCTACCACTAATCCAAAATATTAGGAATGTGATCTGATCACAAGATTGACTCTGATTATGATGGCAACAACCATAGAATTAGAAGGTTAGCTCCAGTCTGAAGACAGATCAAATTGATCTTGAAATCCTTCTCGCCTCTCCATCATTGTAATTTGCACAAATTGAATAGCATTAGTTCTTCCCACTTTTTAGTATGGTTGTTGTAGTATTGCAAGTCTCTCAGCACAGTGGTGCTTCAGTGCAACAGGAGTACATTTTTGTTTGATAACAAGGTTGGATTAGTCCTGTTTATTTAGTTTTGTGTAAACGGCTGCCTTGGTTTATTCCAATTTGCTGTATAATTTGGGGTTTGTACAGGTGTGAAGTAAATTCTAGGTAAGCTTTTAGCCTGAGCCAGCAAAGCCTTCATATGTTACTATGATTCATCATGTTTATCACATGCTTTGATAATAGATATACTTCTTGAAT